TAAGGAGAACCAGAACCTGCCAAGCAGCTCGGGTAGAGACGAAAGTCGGATGTCTGTTGCACCTAATACTGATCAAGAAGCAACGATTCTCCGTCGATCTACGCGAGAAAGGCGTCCGCCAGAGTGGCATAAAGATTACCAGAACATGGCCAGAAATTGCGGACATGGAATATGCAGATTGCCGTAGCAAATTTGCATATCTGTTCAAATATTATTCGTTTGCAGAACTATAAATTATATTGCGCATTCTTAAATTTTGCAAAATTTAAGAAAATCATTGCATCTTTGCTATTTGCCCTGGTTGTTTCTTGTAACTCGTGTCATATTGAAGATCCTGAGGTAATATTTTGCTGGCAAAGGTTTATGTCGGCTCTGCATTTTTATTTTATTTCTACGCTATTACGGTTTTCGTTTTATATGGTATTCAACGTGATAAATGACCAAAACTTTGTTTTGAAAATGCAGGACGAATACTGAGAGATAATCAAACATTTTGAAATACTGTATAAAAATATTAAGATTAACTTGCTCTGCAACGAGCAATTAAGGCAAATTATAATTGACCTACCTAAAGGTGTATTTTTAGCGTTTAGTACTGTGCACATTACAGTTTACTATAAACTCACGAAGCTTTATTTTGACACCATATGCAAATTTAGGCGGAAGTAGAATGTTAAATATGTCCGAATTTTCTGGCCATGAAGCACTAAGATCTACAGCCTTTATTTTGTTTAGAAAATTTTAAAAAAAAAACCAAACAAACAAACTCAACAGCAAAACATTTTAATGTTGTTTATATAGAACAGTATCAAACAATTTGTTTATATTAAGGGGAAGATGTAACGATATATGACGTCAGTATAGACGTCATGTGACTTGGACGAGGGGGTGTGCTCGCTATATTTATTTTATCAACAGTTTTGTAAATACATGAAAATATACGTGGAGTTTTTCTGAGTATATTTGAGTCTACTTGTCGGTATCGTTACACGAGGCAACATGGTTGTATGTAATACAATTCGTGTTCTAAGCTTTATTTCACTTATAATTCATGCACTATTTAAGCTTGTTTAGCATGTAAAACTAGGTTACCTGCAAGGTAGGGATTGCTGCGGGCATTAAAAACAAATTCAACCAAATATCATATATAAGAACAGGATTGGCAAAACTGTACAATTGTTAAAACATATTACAAAAGCGTTGAAATTTGTCAAATATGTGTCACACGATCACGTCGCAACTAATTTAACAAAGGACGTGTTAAGGTGAAATTTTTCTTGCATAAAATATCAACGCAAAACACGTACTTTGGCATTTTACATTTCTCAAGAGTAGAGTTGTATTGCAAGTTGCAAAAAATTGCATCGTGTAACAGGGCCTGAACTAAACTCTAAAGTTAACAAAATAATGTAAGTGACTCCTTCTGCAGGACAATCCACCTTTGATGTATTCGGCGACCCTTCGGCATCGTCGTCTTGCCTTAAATAGTTCAAAGAATTGCTATACTGGTTTGCTGTATTTTCGTATATGGCAGATTGCCCAGACCACTATGACGATGAAACACGAGGCTTAATGACAAAGATGTAAAAATAAACTTGGATTATCAAACTAAACTGTGGTCTAACAATAAGATAAAATAGGAAATACTATCAAGCGAAAAGGTGCAAATGAAATCGAAGATATAATCAGTTTCTTCAAAGAATTGCTACTCATTTACTGTATTTACATGCGGCAAGCGACAACGAAACACGAGCCGCAATGACAAATATGTAAAACATAACAGTGTTAACACTAGGATTTTTAATTTTAAACATTAAATTGCCGCTTTTACTGAGCTTTTTACCCCTAGTAAACGTCACACAGAAATAAGCGCAGTACCGTAGTGCAAATGAAACCGAGAATAGCTACAAACAGTTTAATCAGTTCGAAAAAAATGAAATTCGAATACGGCAGACTACCCAGGCACACTATGACAATGAAACACGAGGCACAATGACAAAGATGAGAAAATAAACTTGGATTATCAACACTGAGTCAAAATAAGTCCAAACAGGCAAAACAATCAACAATATACTTAAAATACGATTTGATAGTCAATACTGTATATCGCGCGTCGTACGATATGCTAAACGAAAAATCTAGACATCAATGCGCAAAAATCTCGACATCAATGCGCGAATATTTATATTGTTAATCAAAACAAATTACAGTAGAAATCAGGTAAAACGACAAGCAACTGTCAACCTTATAATAAATGAAAACAAAGGCGAATGAAGAACAGAATGTATGTTAAATCTGGACTGGTACCTCTTCCAGACTTGGACGTTTGACTTTTAAGTTTTAATTCATATTGGTATTTAATCCATGTCACTGAAACGTGAGATTAATTTGTGCACAACTGCGCATACAAACAGGCCTGATACAACTGCGTCACTAGGCACAACCACAATGCAACGCAACCCTAAAAATTTGCCTTTCACTGCCTACTACGCCAATTAGACTGCTGCTACGCTCGCTCGCTTCAGGCTCGCTCGCTCCGCAGCAATTATGACAAGGTTTCTAAAGAACGAGCTAACATGGATGTATGTAATACAATTCGTTTTCTAAGCTTCATTTTACTAATTCATGTACTAAGCTTATTTGGCATGTAAAATTATGATGAGGTTTCTGAAGAACGAGGCAATATACATTTATATATATATATTTATATATTATATATTACAGTTTAGAATAATCCAGTTTGATGCTATAATTCATGTACTAAGCTTGTTTGGCATATAAAATTATAATAAGGTTTCTAAAGAACGAGGCAACATGGTTGTATGTAATACTTCTAAGCTCACACTGATTGGCGTTTGCTTTCCATTTTTGCCATCGGTAAAAAAATTGTCGGACGGTAAGGATGTTTGTCCAATGGATCGGATCGATCGATCGGACCATTCGACATTCACACGCCGCACATTGAACGTGCACTACCACGCGAGACACGCGCGCAGTAACCCTCGCAGCAGGCCTTTATTGGTTTTCGGGCAACGGCAAAATATTGTCCGACGGTAAGCAAGATTGTCCGGTCGATCCATCCGTACCATCTGTAAGAGTGGTTTGTCGATCGGATACCGATCGTCAGTATTGGACATTTATGCCCAAAACAAGAGAAATTAGAACACTTTTTTAATGTAACTTATTTCAATACCTCAAAACATTTCACGCTTGCATGGTTAAATCTCGCGTGCCAGAAGCTGAATGTTACCCAGATGATATACATTGTTGTCCCAATGGCTACAATTGTGAAGGATCATCTTGTAGGAGAGGATCTGACATTACTCGGCTATTTAAAAAATCACTTGCAATTCAGGTAGAGTTTTTCCGATTTCACGAGTTTCAGGCACAACAAAGAACGCTTTCCTTTAAGCGGGCAGATGTGAATGACGATATATGTCAATGCAGATTTCTGGAATCGCTCTAAAAATTATTCATAAGAATAGTTTTTTTTATTCATAAGAATAGAGATAGGGATGAACATGCATTTTTATGTCGAAAATTCGCTGCTGTTTGAACTAGTACGTATATAGGTTGCATTAAAGACAACCGTTGGTAACCATTCTAATTCTTGTACTGTTCTCACTTAATTTGTGTAATAAGAAAGGACAAGAAGACACTTCATAATTTATTTTTGCATTTCCAAGTGATAAGAAGTGCATGCCACTATTGGCTAACTGCTGACCTACGCTAAGTGATAATTACGGCAAGCCACTCTTGGCTTTGTCCCTGCTCGAGAAGAAATCAGTGGAAGAAGACTAACAAAAAGACTCAAATGTCGGCACGACACCTTTACAAACGAACGATGCTCTTGGATTCTGAGCCTACAAGCGTGTCTGTCTGCTTATTCTTACCATCTCACAATACGAAAAAAGATACAATAGATTTTTCGATGTTGCATGGGAACGTTTATTCTTTTGCAAACAAAATTCTGATATGGTTTTTGCTATTCACCAACAATATTTAAGCATGCCTTCGTGTTTTAAGTAAGAAACATGGAATTGCATTTTGTGATGAAAGAGGCATTAATTTATCGATGAGTAGTAGTGTACTCTCGAGAATACTCTTGTTTCATCCAATTAGTAGTTTATAACCACGATAGTAAAATTATGTAACTGAGAAGAAGCCAGCAGCGTACCACTCACAATCCAGATCGCAAACAAATCTCAAAGCGGGTCTCACTGAAAAATCATCCCTACTTGAATATGTCTTATTTGCTCTTACGTAAATTTGTAGCTGCCCCATTTACTGCAAAATCAGGAGGACCAATTTGTACAATCCCCTACTCGCCTATGCTAGGATTAAACCTTTGTCAATTTAAGTCTTTGACAAACCACGTAAAATTTGTTTGCAGGAAATGTTTTAAATGAGGTATAGAGCAAGATGCAGCCCAGATGCAAATTTGCAGAATGATTTGAACGGTTTTTAGCCAATTTCTAAATGATGGATTTGGAAGGTTTTTAGGCCAATTTCTATTAAGCCAGTTCTTAGCCAATTTCCGTGAAATCTGGTAATTTAAGAAATTTTCTTGTAGCCCACACTGCTATGTCGTCAGTGAAATATCACGCGTATATGCGCGTACATCATCTTCTTAGATATTATCTTGGCGTAGCTTGAGAAAACATTTGCAGCGTCTAATAGAAGAGGTCGCACTTTTTTTCAAACTCTTAGATTTGCAAGCCGCAAGATAATGTTTTCGGTTGACCGCGCATCCGATTAACAACATTTAGGGGGGAGGGGGGGGGGAAGAAGCATGCGTCGATCCCCTGATAATCTGAGGAATCAGATTCCTTATTTGTCCAAATTAAACAAAAAAAGAGGGAGGTGGAAATTTTTTCTAAAATTATATAGTGAAAATCTGCAGCTTTACAATTTCAAAAGAGAGTGTAAGGGTCCCCAGAGTTTTTCTATAAAGAAATAAGATTTCGTTGCTAGTTCTTGTCTTCTTATAACATTTATAGGTGAACGTAGTTTGTCCTGGTGGCGAAGTCCAGTGCCCAAGTGGTAACACATGCTGTAAACTGGCAAGTGGCCAGTGGGGATGTTGTCCTCTACCGAACGCCGTTTGTTGTTCAGATCATCTACATTGTTGTCCCAATGGCTACACCTGTTCAGGATCAGGCTTCTGTAGTCGGGGATCTCAAATTATGAAGCAATTTAGAAAAAATGCCGCAATAAAGGTTGGTTAATTAAGCACCAGATGCAATTTTTTATTTGTAAAAAGCCGTATAATTCCGCTTTTAACATACAGCTACATATCGCATTGTAACGTATTATAACGCAACATTCGCGCCTTTACACGCTGTCCGGTCCACACATGCAATCATCTTCACAATATCATTACTGACGTACGTAAGTGTTACGTTCGCCGGTGAGAACGAACAAAAAATGAGAACAGTGTTGAGCATTTTAAAACATTTAGTGAATTATAGTGAGCAATAAGCAATTTAAACTTTACAAAGCACATTAACAATATCCTATTTCTTAACATTAACTTATCTGGTAAGAGTAACAGTGAATAGCTCCATAGTTGAAAATCCATCATACATCCATCTATGTTATATTGATCATTTGGTCAGCCGTCAGCTTAAATTAGCATCGTCAGTTATGGCATCTTGTAATGGCTGTAATCGCTTGCTTATATCTACTTGCGCTCGGACTTATATACGCTTGCTAAGAGAAACTGCAAAACAACAAGTAATTTCCCCTACGCAATTCAGAGCGTTGTAGCGCATGCTACCATGGCTTTGTGGTTGACACCAAGCTACGCACTTGCGGTTAGGCGTGGACATAGCTATTGCCTGCTCATGCTTATACCTATTTTGCTTACTCATGCATGTAAGTCTTACGAGAATAAGGTTAATTAACTAAAAGGTATATATATTTATACTAGCTAAGTATATGACGCTATATTATTATACGATCTAATTACATGATATTATGTATATCATGCAACAGTAAGTTTAATGAGTATTCAATTTAGCACAAACTAATGCTCGACAGCTAGTGTTCGACATAGCCTCCTCTGCAGGCATCTCTTTTTATATTCTAAAACAAACAAGATCTTCAATACGGCAGAACTGAGAAGGAAAGCGCGTCTCTCCGCCCGATTTTCCCGATTTTCCCCCTTTAGCGTTAAGAAAATAAAGTCCTGACATTCAGGTTAGATCGTCATTTAATTTGAAATTAACTTGATTGACATGGGTGTATAAGTACTCATGCAATGAAAGAATTGATCCCAAAACAAGAGAAATTAGAACATTTTTTTTACTGATGTAACTTATTTCAATACCTCAAAACATTTCACGCTTGCGTGGTTAAATCTCGCGTGCCAGAAGCTGAATGTTACCCAGATGATATACATTGTTGCCTCCCAATGGCTACAATTGTGAAGGATCATCTTGTAGGAGAGGATCTGACATTACTCAAAAATTTAAAAAATCACCTGCAATTCAGGTAGAGTTTTTCCGATTTCACGAGTTTCAGGCACAACAAAGAACGCTTTCCTTTAAGCGGGCAGATGTGAATGACGATATATGTCAATGCAGATTTCTGGAATCGCTCTAAAAACAGGGAATCAGTCTGTTCTGAAATATAAATGGACTGGTCTGACCGTTTTTTCCGCATAAAGGAAAGCGACCAATGACAATGTAAACTCGACACGGCAATAAGCACATTGCCAGAAATGTTGCTCACTAATTAAATATTTGAATGCAAATCACTTTAGTTTTTTTGCATGCAATGCAAATTTTGAATGCAAATCACAATTATTCAGAATGTTTTTAGAATAGAAATTTATCTCTTATAGCTTTTATTCATAAGAATAGTTTTTTTTATTGATAAGAATAGAGATTTTCCTATCATTTAAGAAAGAGGAAAAGTGTTTCGCATGAAAGGGATGAACATGCATTTTTATGTCGAAAATTCGCCCCTGATAATCTGAGGAATCAGATTCCTTATTTGTCCAAATTAAACAAAAAAAGAGGGAGGTGAAAATTTTTTCTAAAATTATATAGTGAAAATCTGCAGCTTTACAATTTCAAAAGAGAGTGTAAGGGTCCCCAGAGTTTTTCTATAAAGAAATAAGATTTCGTTGCTAGTTCTTGTCTTATAGGTGAACGTAGTTTGTCCTGGTGGCGAAGTCCAGTGCCCAAGTGGTAACACATGCTGTAAACTGGCAAGTGGCCAGTGGGGATGTTGTCCTCTACCGAACGCCGTTTGTTGTTCAGATCATCTACATTGTTGTCCCAATGGCTACACCTGTTCAGGATCAGGCTTCTGTAGTCGGGGATCTCAAATTATGAAGCAATTTAGAAAAAATGCCGCAATAAAGGTTGGTTAATTAAGCACCAGATGCAATTTTTTATTTGTAAAAAGCCGTATAATTCCGCTTTTAACATACAGCTACATATCGCATTGTAACGTATTATAACGCAACATTCGCGCCTTTACACGCTGTCCGGTCCACACATACAATCATCTTAACAATATCATTACTGACGTACGTAAGTTTAATGAGTATTCAATTTAGCACAAACTAATGCTCGACAGCTAGTGTTCGACAAAACAAAACGAAAAAGTATTTACACATTTTGCGCGAAGCCTGGCGCGAGCAGGGACAGTTACACTCAGTTTTGCCCCTCGGATTTGTCCATGAAGACTATTTACATGTTCTCCACTTTGTGCGAGTGACTGGTTGATCATCTCTCATCAACAAAATGTCTCCAACTGCAAGATGCTGTGAGTTATATTCTTAACTAGGTTACCCATGGGTAGAAATGCTAAATGGCTAAAAGTTTTATAGTGTGTAGTGATATTAATTTGGTCATATCAAAATTCAAATTACACTTTCAAAAGCACTTTTTGAAGTTAAAGCGAAGGTGTAATAGCCTTTAACAGTTTGCTATGCCTTTGCAAAACGGCATACAGAGATGAAAATTATGCAAATAAATTGCACCTTTACCGCGAAGCAAAAACGAAATAAATACGTGAACACGTACCCTTTTAAAACACTTCTATGCTAACTACCGGAATCAGTTGCTTGGTCAAATGCCAACACGTTTCGAACTTTTTTCATAAAAATCCTATTACGTCTTCTTTCGACCAAGGATCTGCCATTTTAAATTCAAATACAAATAATAAAGAAACTTTTGTATTACATATAAAGTTATTGTTTGAATAGACTTATATTCAAAACTGCATCCTTACCTACATACGAAATAAACAAAGTGAACACGTACCTTTTTAAAACACTTATATAAGCTTGCGGATTATGAATTATTTCTCTTGCACCGCTTTGTCTTGACTTGTATCCATACTCTTTTTAGTTATCTGTCATTTTTTATCCTGTTTCTTCTCGTTGTATTTTGCACAAAGTTTATGAAACAGCAAAAACCAATAATATACCTCAGTGGTCACAAAATTATCGTTTTTAATTTAGAACCACCTTAAATGAAATTAATTTCAAGTTTAACTCTCACGAGCCACGTGCAAAGATAGAAAACATCTTTCTTCAACACGTGCATGAAAAAGAATTTTCAACTTTGCCAAAAAAGTGGAAATAAACCGTATCACTAAAACGAGCCCACGAGTAATGGGTTATTTCCACACTTATTTGTCAAAACGAAAATTTCTTTTTTATGCATGTATTGAAGCCTTATATTTTGCATCTTTGCACGTTGCTCGTGAGAGTAAAATTTGAAATCTATTTCATTTAAGGTGGTTCTAATTGTACAACGATAATGATGTGACGTAATTATCGAAAAGGTGTATTGCTGCCGTTCTTATTGAAATACAAACTTTCTGTCTCAGCCATACCAGTCGTTACTCGCGCATACGCATAACTGAGAAAACAGTTGAACGTCGACCGTCCACCGTCCATGACAGGATAAATTTGGATTCCGCTATGTACCCCCGGGTTTCGGGTGTAATTCCTAATTTCCGGGCGGAATAAGTACCATCACATAATGCTCGCACAGGCTCGGGAATGAATGTTTATGAGTGCGATGGTAAGATTATTTTCATGAGGTGAAAGATGGAATGTTATGGGAAGTTCCATCTTACACCGAGTGAAAATATTCTTTCCATTGTACGAATGAAAACGTTCATTGTTTGTTTTATATAACACCAAAAAAACACCGAAATATAGATAATAAGAATTTTTCACAAGGACAGATTTCAGAGGAGATTATCGCTTGGAAAATGAATCTATGGGACGCATATTTGAACACTGTCGTTGTGCCTGTTTTTATTTATACGTAAGGTCTGATTCTCAATCCAGGACGCAGGTCCAAAAAAATTTATACGAGTCGACACCGACTTGAGCTTGCATGTGATTAGAAAGGGCATACATTTTTAATTATGACCTTCGAGGGCCCGAAATTGCGAAGAAGAATTTTTTTAAATCGAGTCCGTCAGAAACCAAATTTGAGAACCAGTTTCGAGCAGTATTTTCCCTATTTTAGCGACTGAATTTACCTGGGTTGGTGAATTAATGAAAGTGCCGCAGTCTGGAATAGTTGATATAGACTATTAAGATAGACAAAATTTCAGAGGCATAGAATTTTTCTCAAGAAAGTTTTGGAGTCAAGGCCACGAGATTTTGAGATTTGATGCCTCTAGATCCTTGAAAATAGCCATTTCAGAGTCGTACCCTGGCCTGTTCTCAATAGTCGCAAACATCAGCGAGACCTATAACTACGATAAAGTTTTCAAGACTCACGGAAATTCGATTAAACAATTATGTCCATTAATTTCACTGAGTAATTTTTTTAATTTAGAAGAATGTACAATTAATTAATTGACAAGGACACACCATTTTAATGCCTATTATAAATGATAATCCCGTCGGCCATATTATTCGCACTCGTGATTAATATCGTGAGTGATTGAATCTAGTGGAAGCAACCGTGCAATGGAGATTTCTATTTAATGCAACGCGATCAAAAACAACCAATTAAAAAAAGACATTATGTAAAAGACATAAAATAGTATAACTTACAGCATGCAGGCACGGTCCAGTTTCCTTACTTATATTAAGTGATATTTTATTCAGTAATATCACCTTCTCCTTCTCGCCATTCAATCATTTCCGTTCTTCAAAACATAATTTTATATAGCTACAGGCATTCCTTAAAACGTAATTCAAAAAACTTTCAGGAGAATATCGTATGCCCGGGTGGCGAGGAAAAAGCGTTCACAATCACACTATACCGCGTAACTAGCTGCGCCGGTAGAAAATCATGCATAAACAACGGTTTATAGGGTCTAACTGGTGTCGACACTCTGTTGTTATTCTTATCAATTGAAGTTGATTGAGGTGTTTGAATGTCAGGATTCTTTCCCCATTAATTCTCTTTCATGACAATTAAGTCAGTGTTAAATTCTTCTGCAGCAAGAAGTTTCCACTTATTCCACTCAGGTTTTGCAACGACCTTAAAATTTATTGGCAATGTGCTGTACGACCATGCATGCAGTTAATATAGTTATATATGCGTATAAATGATGTCTTGAGGATGTCTGAAGTATGCAGATATACCAGTGATATTATTGTTCACATATGATACCTGAGATTTTCAAGATTGCAGTGGCCACTGTCTCTTTCGATGCACAGTTGGCAATGATACGTTAATCAAACTGTGTTCCCATTCGTTCACGGATGCAAATAAACGTTGTCGCCGGAGCATCATCTTGCACTAATAAGGGATTTTCGAATTCTGCCCACGATATGTTTGCGTTTTCATTTGTATTCACTTTCAACAGTGTATTCAAATCGATGCGTTTTCGGTGAATACGCTGAGCGTATTCGAGCGTATTAGTGTGAATGGAAGGCCTAAACGCATCGAAATGTATGCGTTTTCAAACGAAAACGCACTAGTGTAGACAGGGCCGTAGAAAGGGGGCAGAATTCGAAAATCCCTTATTAGTGCAAGATGATGCTCCGGCGACAACGTTTATTTGCATCCGTGAACGAATGGGAACACAGTTTGATTAACGTATCATTGCCAACTGTGCATCGAAAGAGACAGTGGCCACTGCAATCTTGAAAATCTCAGGTATCATATGTGAACAATAATATCACTGGTATATCTGCATACTTCAGACATCCTCAAGACATCATTTATACGCATATATAACTATATTATGATTCCCACGTCCGCTGTACACTACACTCGATTTATTAGCGCACGGCTAAAATGGGTACCCGTGCCCACTTCATACGTGCATGCCCGGTATTTGTTTTGGTATACAGGGTGTCCCAAAAAAACCGAAAACTATTGAAATCACCCATAACAATGTAATTGTTAGAGTTTGAATGCCTAAGCACTCTGTTGGGACCCACAAGTGTGTAAATGTTTGCCATAAGCATTTTTATGCATGATGATGAAAATTTGCTCGTACGCGAAAATGATATTTATTAACAATATTTAAATGTGCATCTCAATCACCATGACCTTCGACATGTCACTTTTCTCTAGCAACACAAAGCATTTAGCATTTCACTTAGTTGCGTTAAATCCCCACGGGCTAAAACTCGTGCACACGGCATTCAAATTTTAACAATGAGTGATTACAAAAGTTTTCGTTTTTTTTGGGACACCCTGTATAGCTTGAACACTGATAAAATTGGGCACGGGTACCCATTTTAGCGTGAATGCCATGCTGATAAATTGAATGTAAACGGGGCTTTCTTCTCATTTGCATATCCACAAAAGAAGATCAGCCAGATTATCTGGTCTTTGAAACAATGTCCAACACTCAAGTTAAATGTGGACGGTTGTCCCGAAACACGCAAACTGAGAAACTTTCCCCTATATTCACAATAATCTAGTGGTCTTCTCATTTGATCAAAACGATGAGATGTCGTTCAGATTCCAAGACGAAGAAAGCCCTAAGGCGAATACAACTAAGATTAAAATTCTCATGCCAGTATCAATTGTATCAAAAGCTCCATTCCTGAAGATATGTGGGGACACGATTCCCATTTAAGTTTACAAGGTAGACGCGAATAGGGAGAGAGGTTTCATGGCAGAATTTCATTGATGGTTCCACGGTCAATTAATTAAAAAGCAAGTATATGCATGGTGTTAAACCGCGTATTATAGTATATAGTATAGCCGCAAAAAAAATCTGGATTATCTGCATATCCGCCAACAACACTATGTAAACAGAGTGCAGTCTCTGGCGATCCATATATAGCCGGATAAACTTGTCAGTGATTTCTGTATCTGTGTTTAATGTTCGCGTGGTTATGTGTGTTAATACTCTTCATATGATATTTCGCTTTCAGACCACATGTTCTAGAGTACGGATTTTTCACTAAAATTTTTATATGTTCGATATACAAAAGACAGACTGCGTCCTTACTCTTTTCTCTATAATTTATATTATGTAACAATGTATTGCTTACTATCTCTACAACACCTCCTGTTCGGAAAAATAATACGAAAAAATATAATACAGATACAACAGATTTTTAATTTAATTTAATTCAAAATCTTAATATAATTTAATAGCAGCTCTTATCGAAACACTTAGCGCAGGTTTTGGTGCGCAAGGGTGTATCTTTTACATGCGTACACTAGACAACAAATTCTTATAATCATGCATGAAATAAAGCGAAAATTATTACTCCTTTTGTGTGAAACATTTAGCGCAACAATCGCTAACTGAAACAACGTATTATATCCGTGTAACTAGGTTACCTGCAAGGTACGGATTGCTGCGAGCATTTTAGGGTCCAAGTGAATTGTTATATGAAATGTTAGTAAACTAAATCCGTTTTAACTAATAGCAATAGCAGGTTTAAAACACGTAAAGTGAACCTCTATATAGCGTTAACTCGGGCTGTACATGAATTAATACCTGTTAGTGAGAACACTGTCAATGACGTTAATATGTAGGTCTATGTATGCTATATCAAGTTCTAACTTTTATCTCGAAATTGTTTTGAAAAAGGCTGGTCTATATTATGATTTCGCGAGTAAATTTGCTATAGAGAAAAAAGATTTATAAACGTTTAATTGCCCAAAGGATTTGTAGATTGCCCTCGGCAAAAACAAATCGTCTGAAAATAGCCATTTTACAGTGTCATGAATACCAATTTCCCCCGGTGTTGGATACACCCGGGAGTGTTTTTCCCGCTGTCGAAGGGGAAAGGAGAGAACGCTGTCTTGCGAGTTGCAGCTCGTTGAAGTCAAAGTCTTTAGAAGCAGCTAGTTTAAAAAAATTATATTTTAACATACGAATCATAACAGGAGTATTAACAATAATAGTAATATTAGGTAGAATTTTGCGCGCGTAGCGACATTTTCCCCGCAACAAAGTTGAAAGTATTGTACTTTTCAGTTTCCGCGCGGAAAATATTGTTTGCGCGCAAAATTTCGCCTAGCGAAAATACAGGCCCTGACATGGTATTTGTTTTTGAAATATGCTATTTGTCTTTGTTGTAAGAGTCCATGTAAATGTTTGCTTCATGTGAAGAGTAACAAAACATCACTTTAATACTTTGAACTTTGAACGCGCTCGAGAACTGAGACGTGTAATCAGAAACCACGTGAAGATCCGGTAAAAGCACTAAATAACAAAAACATTTAGCTCATTGTAAAATAGGAATAAAAACATATGCCTATGCTTACAGTAACCTAATATAAAATAAGTCAAACATTGCACGAATCTGAGTGATTCAGTCAGGCAATTTAGACGATCAATTCAATTGCATATTTTATCTGCGACTGTGTCATGTTATTAAACACGACTCGCAAGCGTCAAGCCGCATACTTGAAACAGAGAAAGATTTGATTTGCTTCACAGCACTAACAGCTCAACTGCTCAAGCAAAGCGAATTAGCAAATTGGATAGTACATCCTAATATTCTAGAAGAATTTATGTATTTCGTATATAAACAGTATGAATCTAGCTGTGATCGATTGTATGCTTTTAGCGTTTCATAAATATACAAGTTAAAATTGTAAACAACTGCAAACGTAACATATGAACGAAAGATTAAAATATCTTACCTTGAATAGTCAAAATAGAACAGAAGCTTTAAAATTTAACAAAAATTTGAGGTTCCTGTCCATCGAAATCAAAAAGCACATGGATATGAGCGAGTTTAAAATTTGTGTTCTACGCATAAAAAACGCGCACGACCACAATTCCTTGCGCCAAATAAAATTTAGTTCAGAACCCCCTCTCTGCACAAATTAGACTGCTGCTACGCTCGCTCGCTTCAGGCTCGCTCGCTCCGCAGCAATTACTTTGGTTTGCAGACGCACCAACTTTAACTAACATACGCGTACATATAGCTTTGATCCAGGATTCGAGGCAGAGTAAAGATAGAAATTTTTGTCCCACAATGTGAACAGAATTGTAGCACAAACCTTTGCTTTCTTACTAGCGTCCACATTAGAGACTCAACGTATAGAATGAATAACCTAAGCTTGGTACAGACTGTTTTTGTGTAGAATGATACAACTTTGCAGCATGATTTAAAAGGTTTTTCCTTAGCCAATTTCCGTGAAATCTGGTAATTTGGAAATTTTCGTGTAGCTCACACTGTTATACATCATTTGCTCAGATGCTATTTTAGCGTAGCTTGAGAAAACATTTGCAGTGTCTAATAGAAGAGGTCGCACGTTTTCCAACTCTTAGATTCGCAAGCCGCAAGATAATATTTCGGTTGATCGCGCAGCCGATTAACATGGGATGATTTCTTATTTGTCCAAATTAAACAAAAGAGAGGGAGGTGAAAATTTTTTCTAAATTTATATAGTGAAAATCATCAGCTTTACAATTTCGAAAGAGAGTGTAGGAGTCCCCAGGGTTTTTCTATCAAGAAATAAGATTTCGTTGCTAGTTCTTGTAATACCTTCTTATAACATTTATAGGCGAAGAACGTAGTTTGTCCTGGTGGCCAAGCCGAGTGCCCAACTGGTAACACATGCTGTAAAGTGGCAAGTGGCGAGTATGGCTGTTGTCCTCTACCGGAAGCCGTTTGTTGTTCCGATGAAGAACATTGTTGTCCCCATGGCTACACCTGTGGAACAGGAGGCTTCTGTTATAAGGGATCTCAAGTTATAAAGCAATTTAGAAAAAATGCCGCAATAATAAAGGTTGGTTATTTGAGCATCAGATGCAATTTTTTATTTATAAAAAGCTGCTTTTAACATATCTTAACTACATATTTTAACCTCATTCTCGTTTACACGCTATCCGGTCCAAAATCACCTTCACAATATCATTGCAGACGAGTTGAAAGTAGACAAATGCCTCTAAACTCCTTTTGAACTATTGAAAGACCGTGGAATTCGACTCGGCTAATGAAATGTAGCATCGAATGCAATTCGATATTTCTTGGTATAGAGACCTCGCCCTCGTTTAGTAAGAAGTTAGTCATATTGCTTTCCGTTTCTGTGCTAAGGAACATAAGGAACATAAGTGTGATTTAAATTTTTATTTGTGTTATCATGATTACGTGATTTCTGAGGACGTGTTATGGTTCTCAAAGAGACGATTTGAATGTGCATGCAATTTCGACTTTATTATATTCATTTTGAAATCATGGCCAGAAATTGCGGACATGGAATATGCAGATTGCCGTAGCAAATTTGCATATCTGTTCAAATATTATTCGTTTGCAGAACTATAAATTATATTGCGCATTCTTAAATTTTGCAAAATTTAAGAAAATCATTGCATCTTTGCTATTTGCCCTGGTTGTTTCTTGTAACTCGTGTCATATTGAAGATCCTGAGGTAATATTTTGCTGGCAAAGGTTTATGTCGGCTCTGCATTTTTATTTTATTTCTACGCTATTACGGTTTTCGTTTTATATGGTATTCAACGTTATAAATGACCAAAACTTTGTTTTGAAAATGCAGGACGAATACTGATAAAACATTTTTAAATACTGTATAAAAATATTAAGATTAACTTGCTCTGCAACGAGCAATTAAGGCAAATTATAATTGACCTACCTAAAGGTGTATTTTTAGCGTTTAGTACTGTGCACATTACAGTTTACTATAAACTCACGAAGCTTTATTTTGACACCATATGCAAATTTAGGCGGAAGTAGAATGTTAAATATGTCCGAATTTTCTGGCCATGCATACAAAAAATTAAGCAAATAAAAAAGACTTACTGGCTAAAAGAACCGTAGACGGTGTAAAATGTGAGTAATTTTCATCTATTTTTGTCAAGAAATTCTGCAGGGCATTTAAAAATTCAAAATAATATAATTTTGTGCCATTTTTCCCTGTAATTTGATTGGATAGTTCGCTTTTAAAGTATTTTATAATCAAACCAGTGCGATGACATATATCGTTCAGATTCCAAGACGAAGAAAGCCCCAAATATAACTAATATCAGTTTAAGATTCTTACGCCAATATATCATATGGAAACAGCTCCATGAAGCTATATTATATGGGCACACGATTCTCTTTTGAGTTAGAAAAGAGTACAATTTGTGGCTCGCTGTGATTTTTTTTCGTTCCGTACACTTTACAAGATGGACGCGAATAGGGAGAAGGATTTTATGGCAGAATTTTTTTGATAGTTACACGGTCAATTAAAAACAAGTATGCATGCATGTGTTTAAGCGCGGTATATATAGTATGGCCGCAAAAATACCTGGATTACCTGCATATCCGCTAGCAACATTATGTAAACCGCGTGCAGTCTCTCGATAGTTTTCAATATCTTCTGGAACGGAAAATCAGCCAAAAATACCTTTTGGTATAAAAGGGAACGGATTGCTTTAAGCTAAAAAAATTATATACGAACCAGAGTGCGAAAGATTTTACGTTGACCATCCCGTTTCTCGTCGGAAGCATTTTAACATCGCTGCACGATAGCTGACTAAAATGAACGCAATCAATGTACATGAGTGCGAAGGAACTTAAAAAAAAATGAAAATGCGAAAGTGACCATGATGGCATGCATACACGAAAGCTTTGAAACATGAAGCTATGAACATGATTCGACTTGGGAGAGGAACTCTTGATACAGTTTGTCTTTCTACACAGAGGAATTAGAGTTCGATATCCTTCCACAAAATAGGTAATACCCGCGCTAATTATAGGATAAAATGAACCTCCTTGTAACATTTAGGTGAGTAGCGTAGTTTGCCCTGATGGCCATTCCACATGTCCAGAAGGTAACACGTGCTGTAAAACGCGAAGTGGCCAGTGGGGGTGTTGTCCTCTACCGAACGCCGTTTGTTGCTCAGATGGTGAGCACTGTTGTCCTCATGGGTATACCTGTGATTTATCAGCGGGAAAATGTTCGCAAGGTCGCCAAGCCGTAGGACTTTTTCAAAATAAGCCAGCAAATTACCTATCTAAGGTATGACCAATAGTGATTTTCAATAAAAATCTTAGGAGATGAAAATGAATTAGCTATTGTTGTAATTTGCTTAATCAATCACGAAAAAGAGCACGACATTCCATTGAACAGTATATATAGGTATATACATTCGTTTTCATCTTGGCGATCCATATATAAAGGATCACAAAGAAAAAAATTCAAGGCCAAGCAATATAATTCGAAACGAAACAAAACGAAAGCGCGAAGCGCTTACATTTTGACAATCGAGTAAAACGTTATAACGATTGATAAAACAACTGAGAAAATAACACTTCTGTCACACAAATGTGTCCCTACAAAAGTATAAATCGATTTAAAAACAGCTGGCTTCCCTCGCTGCCACTGCCAATTATAACACGTCGTCTTTTAGCAGTGTGGAATTCACCGACCAATGGCTACAATTATTTCTTTTGTTGTGGTGTTGCCCTACAATATAGCTGATATTTGCCGTTGCTTGTTGTCCGAAACCACGGAGTGGTTGTTAATCGAATTTATATTTTTGTGGCCAGTAATTTGCATGAGAAACATAGGCGTACGGGCCTAGAAATTTTGGGGGGCGGGACCATAGTCTGCCCGACGAGTGCCGAAGACCGAGAAAAACAAAGCTGGTTTATGGGTCCTATTAACTGGGTCGAGTTTCACGCTCGAAGCGATCATCAGAATCTGATGATCGCTTCGAGCGTGAAACTCGTATTTCAATACCTCAAAATCATTTCACGCTCGCAAGTTTAAATATCGGGTAACCGGCTCCTAAAACGCTTCGTAATATTTAATTCAATGCTTCTTCTTAATGATAATGTGCATGCTCAGAGTCTTAACCGCGCTTGTGGAATTGATTTTAAATGCGGCAGTGAGATGATCAATGTTTACGTTGCAAAGTCGTTGGTTAGTTCCAACAACTAAGAACTCAGTTTTTCTTTCAGAGAATATTTCCCTTTCTTCCGCGTTACGACTACCCCGCATGGAAACTAGATAATCGAGAAGCAATGCAATGGGGCAACACGTGGGCTGACGGTTGATCGTCAACGTGAAAAGACGTTGATTGCATGTAACAATGCTTGTAGTTTTGTAAGATTAATTCATACTAACAACCCGGTTGCTCGAATCACGAATGGTAGCGAGTTGATTGAATTGCAAAGGCTCAGGTCCATCTCTTTTGTTAGTGGTAATTTCTCCAACCCTCAGGAAAGCAAAGAATGCCAGTGACTATATGGCTTTAAATTGCGTGATCGATGATGCTCAGGAAGATTGGTAATGTGAAAGGCAAGCGGCTATCTAAAATGCCTGTTGCCAGTCCTTAATATGTGTGATCTTTTTTGGTTTCGACATGGGTTCAAGGCAAAAAGACGTCGGAAGTCCGGTCTCAGACGATTGCAATGAAACTTGATATTTTTCATTGGTGGGATTGCTCAGCAAGCATCCGAAATCGACGTACTCCTCACTCCAAATTTTTCCCTTAAGTTTAGGCGAGACTCTAGAGTCGATTGATAGACTCGACAAGAGGAAAACCTGGGTTGGAATTACACTAGAATTATCTACATTAACAGTAGGCAATGACTTGGGCTGACTAGTGATTTGCGAGTGAGCCGCAGTTATTGAGTCGTTCACCATACTTGCGGACAACTGCATTGGCGGTGCACTTGATAGGGCGTGTTGATTTTACCAGGCGGTAGCTGGACTGGAGCACTTGGTGTTGGAGCCGTTGGTAGTTCTGCGGCGTATTGCGGTATCCGTGGCTGGACATTAATATCGCCTAGAGAGGCCAAAGTAGATATGGGCGTTGAATGGCGTTATGTTGAAATTGACCATGCATGTCCGGTAGAAAGGGGGACACAGTCATACAAACGGTTGCGCGAAACCCGTATGCTTCCAACAAATGGCTTGGGTCATCGGCTCAAGCACAACGCGCGTAAATTGTTTAAGGAGCGCGGCTTTATCGTTAAACTTGCCGTGGGTATGTATATATGCGTGGCGTTTCACCGTCGCGCGTGGGGTAATTTGGCACCATATAACAAGTATTTGAATATCAAAAGCTGTATCAACTCTTCTATTTGGGAACCAGTGACCTTCAGAGGGCATATTAGCCAAGTCGTTTGTCCCTAATTCCAGTATAACAATATCAGGCGCAAACTACGACACAACGCCCAGATGAAACGCGCGTACTTTCTGCACAGTGCGACCCTCCACCCCCTGCAGGCGAATGGACACTACCTTACAAACGACAATCGCTTTTCAAACGACGTACAAAAGAATGTCCGAGAATGAGAACTTTGGGTTCAGTAGCCATTATAATAATAATAATGAAAGGTCAAGGAAAATAACTCGTAATGAACTTAATAAAACTTTGAATAGTCGTACCTTACATAAAAAACTTTTTTGTTTGACAGTCGATTCTTGTCAGTTGACTTGACCTCTTAACCCAAAATTACTTCAAACCTATTAACACAGGACGGAATACATGAATGTGTTTTTGAACACGATTTAGATGAATAAACATTACGCCTAACGTAAATCGGCAGTAATATCACGAATAATAAAAATTTAATGTTTCGAAAAAGAACATGAGAGCTCCCAGAGTTCGTCTATCGAGATATAAATTCTATAGATTCTAGTTTGTACTGCCTTAAACCGTATATATACCCGTAAATGTATCTCCTTATAACATTTATAGGCGAAGACCGTAGTTTGTCCTGGTGGCAAAAGCGAGTGCCCAGATGGTAACACATGCTGTGAACTGGCAAGTGGCGAGTATGGCTGTTGTCCTCTACCGAACGCCGTTTGTTGTTCAGATCATGAACATTGTTGTCCCCACGGGAATACCTGTGATCTGTCAGCAGGAACGTGTGTCCCGAAAAGTGGCGCAGTGACACAACTTCTTCTCAAGAAACCAGCTAATCGCTTGTTCAAGGTATACATATGACATATATCAGTCCTTTTAAATAACCCAGGCTTTTTAAAAAGCTATAAATATAGGCACACTACAGGCGTTTACAGAGATCAGTGGCTAAGTTGAGTGAGCGCGCAGGGCCTATATTTACAGAGGCTGTATATAAGTCCGGGTAATCTTTGTCATCTGATCACATGACCTTTAAAAGTGGTTGGCTCATTTTAACTTGCATCTTCTGTGCGAATACTTGACCGAATTCAATAAAATTGAACCATTTTAAAAAGGAAATTGTCCTCAATAGATAGATGTTTTAGGTCTATATGTTGCAAATTTGGTATGATATTGACTTTTAAATGCATGCGATTTATTTTTTTTGATATTATGCACCAAAGCGGCCTAATCCTAAGAATGTTGCCCAAAACGTAAACGAAAACTGGTTACAGTGATTTAGTTCACATTTCTAGGATCTTTTTGATATATTTAGCGTCGAGCCTTTCGACGATTTTTGCCGATTTTTTACATAAACATTCATAATCTGCACGATGGTATGTAGTATCGCATGGCTCACGGCTAACATTTCAGAATAATAAAAAGATTCAACAAAAATTTCGGGCAAAAAGCTGAAAAACTGACCCCTTTGTCCAATTTTACGTCAGGAATGATTTTTGGGGTCAAATAGACCCTAGGTAGTGAGCATCACCGACTTTTGTCACATTTTTGAACCGTTTGACAATATTCTGAGCAAGCCAAATTATACCAGAATGATAATAGGTTAAATTTAGACAGTCTAAAGACAATCGAAAAACATGGACTTTCGAAAAGTATGCGGTTGCCATGTGTGAGTAATTTGCGATAACAACGCAACACAGTATTTTGACTTAAATTACAAGTGCGGCTTGTAACTCTCTGCTGATTTGAGTATACTATTTATATGATGTCTTAAAGCGCTATCGTTCGGTGGTATTCCGGCATCTTTATTTTAGCCTAAATACTTGCAAAGATATTCAATTTAAGCAAGGGTTCCTTCTATGACTTCTTTTTTGGTTTCGACATGGGTTCAAGGCAAAAAGACGTCGGAAGTCCGGTCTCAGACGATTGCAATGAAATTTGATATTTTTCATTGGCGGGATTGCTAAGCAAGCATCCGAAATCGACGTACTCCTCACTCCAAATTTTCCCCTCAAGTTTAGGCGAAACTCTAGAGTCGATTGATAAACTCGACAAGAGGAAAACCTGGGTTGAAATTACACTAGAATTATCTACATTAACAGTAGGCAATGACTTGGGCTGACTAGTGATTTGCGAGTGAGCCGCAGTTATTGAGTCGTTCACCATACTTGAAGCATGACTTGCGGACAACTGCATTGGCGGTGCACGTGATAGGGCGTGTTGATTTTACCAGACTGGAGCACTTGGTGTTGGAGCCGTTGGTAGTTCTGCGGCGTATTGCGGTATCCGTGGCTGGACATTAATATCGCCTAGAGAGGCCAAAGTAGATATGCGCGTTGAATAGCGTTCTGTTGAAATTGACCATGCATGTCCGGTAGAAAGGGGGACACAGTCATACAAACGGTTGCGCGAAACCCGTATGCTTCCAACAAATGGCTTGGGTCATCGGCTCAAGCACAACGTATGTATATATGCGTGGCGTTTCACCGTCGCGCGTGGGGTAATTTGGCACCATATGACAAGTATTTGAATATCAAAAGCTGTATCAACTCTTCTATTTGGGAACCAGTGACCTTCAGAGGGCATATTAGCCAAGTCATTTGTCCCTAATTCCAGTATAACAATATCAGGCGCAAACTACGACACAACGCCCAGATGAAACGCGCGTACTTTCTGCACAGTGCGACCTCCCCCCCTGCAGGCGAATGGACACTACCTTACAAACGACAATCGCTTTTCAAACGACGTACAAAAGAATGTCCGAGAATGAGAACTTTGGGTTCAGTAGCCATTATAATAATAATAATGAAAGGTCAAGGAAAATAACTCGTAATGAACTTAATAAAACTTTGAATAATCGTACCTTACATAAAAAACTTTTTTGTTTGACAGTCGATTCTTGTCAGTTGACTTGACCTCTTAACCCAAAAATACTTCAAACCTATTAACACAGAACGGAATACATGAATGTGTTTTTGAACACGATTTAGATGAATAAACATTACGCCTAACGTAAATCGGCAGTAATATCACGAATAATAAAAATTTAATGTTTCGAAAAAGAACATGAGAGCTCCCAGAGTTCGTCTATCGAGATATAAATTCTATAGATTCTAGTTTGTACTGCCTTAAACCGTATATATACCCGTAAATGTATCTCCTTATAACATTTATAGGCGAAGACCGTAGTTTGTCCTGGTGGCAAAAGCGAGTGCCCAGATGGTAACACATGCTGTGAACTGGCAAGTGGCGAGTATGGCTGTTGTCCTCTACCGAACGCCGTTTGTTGTTCAGATCATGAACATTGTTGTCCCCACGGGAATACCTGTGATCTGTCAGCAGGAACGTGTGTCCCGAAAAGTGGCGCAGTGACACAACTTCTTCTCAAGAAACCAGCTAATCGCTTGTTCAAGGTATACATATGACATATATCAGTCCTTTTAAATAACCCAGGCTTTTTAAAAAGCTATAAATATAGGCACACTACAGGCGTTTACAGAGATCAGTGGCTAAGTTGAGTGAGCGCGCAGGGCCTATATTACAGAGGCTGTATATAAGTCCGGGTAATCTTTGTCATCTGATCACATGACCTTTAAAAGTGGTTGGCTCATTTTAACTTGCATCTTCTGTGCGAATACTTGACCGAATTCAATAAAAATTGAACCATTTTAAAAAGGAAATTGTCCTCAATAGATAGATGTTTTAGGTCTATATGTTGCAAATTTGGTATGATATTGACTTTTAAATGCATGCGATTTATTTTTTTTTTGATATTATGCACCAAAGCGGCCTAATCCTAAGAATGTTGCCCAAAACGTAAACGAAAACTGGTTACAGTGATTTAGTTCACATTTCTAGGATCTTTTTGATATTTAGCGTCGAGCCTTTCGACGATTTTTGCCGATTTTTTACATAAACATTCATAATCTGCACGATGGTATGTAGTATCGCATGGCTCACGGCTAACATTTCAGAATAATAAAAAGATTCAACAAAAATTTCGGGCAAAAAAGCTGAAAAACTGACCCCTTTGTCCAATTTTACGTCAGGAATGATTTTTGGGGTCAAATAGACCCTAGGTAGTGAGCATCACCGACTTTTGTCACATTTTTGAACCGTTTGACAATATTCTGAGCAAGCCAAATTATACCAGAATGATAATAGGTTAAATTTAGACAGTCTAAAGACAATCGAAAAACATGGACTTTCGAAAAGTATGCGGTTGCCATGTGTGAGTAATTTGCGATAACAACGCAACACAGTATTTTGACTTAAATTACAAGTGCGGCTTGTAACTCTCTGCTGATTTGAGTATACTATTTATATGATGTCTTAAAGCGCTATCGCTCGGTGGTATTCCGGCATCTTTATTTTAGCCTAAATACTTGCAAAGATATTCAATTTAAGCAAGGGTTCCTTCTATGACTTCTTTTTTGGTTTCGACATGGGTTCAAGGCAAAAAGACGTCGGAAGTCCGGTCTCAGACGATTGCAATGAAATTTGATATTTTTCATTGGCGGGATTGCTAAGCAAGCATCCGAAATCGACGTACTCCTCACTCCAAATTTTCCCCTCAAGTTTAGGCGAAACTCTAGAGTCGATTGATAAACTCGACAAGAGGAAAACCTGGGTTGGAATTACACTAGAATTATCTACATTAACAGTAGGCAATGACTTGGGCTGACTAGTGATTTGCGAGTGAGCCGCAGTTATTGAGTCGTTCACCATACTTGAAGCATGACTTGCGGACAACTGCATTGGCGGTGCACGTGATAGGGCGTGTTGATTTTACCAGACTAGATATGCGCGTTGAATAGCGTTCTGTTGAAATTGACCATGCATGTCCGGTAGAAAGGGGGACACAGTCATACAAACGGTTGCGCGAAACCCGTATGCTTCCAACAAATGGCTTGGGTCATCGGCTCAAGCACAACGTATGTATATATGCGTGGCGTTTCACCGTCGCGCGTGGGGTAATTTGGCACCATATGACAAGTATTTGAATATCAAAAGCTGTATCAACTCTTCTATTTGGGAACCAGTGACCTTCAGAGGGCATATTAGCCAAGTCATTTGTCCCTAATTCCAATATAACAATATCAGGCGCAAACTACGACACAACGCCCAGATGAAACGCGCGTACTTTCTGCACAGTGCGACCCTCCACCCCCTGCAGGCGAATGGACACTACCTTACAAACGACAATCGCTTTTCAAACGACGTACAAAAGAATGTCCGAGAATGAGAACTTTGGGTTCAGTAGCCATTATAATAATAATAATGAAAGGTCAAGGAAAATAACTCGTAATGAACTTAATAAAACTTTGAATAGTCGTACCTTACATAAAAAACTTTTTTGTTTGACAGTCGATTCTTGTCAGTTGACTTGACCTCTTAACCCAAAATTACTTCAAACCTTTTAACACAGGACGGAATACATGAATGTGTTTTTGAACACGATTTAGATGAATAAACATTACGCCTAACGTAAATCGGCAGTAATATCACGAATAATAAAAATTTAATGTTTCGAAAAAGAACATGAGAGCTCCCAGAGTTCGTCTATCGAGATATAAATTCTATAGATTCTAGTTTGTACTGCCTTAAACCGTATATATACCCGTAAATGTATCTCCTTATAACATTTATAGGCGAAGACCGTAGTTTGTCCTGGTGGCAAAAGCGAGTGCCCAGATGGTAACACATGCTGTGAACTGGCAAGTGGCGAGTATGGCTGTTGTCCTCTACCGAACGCCGTTTGTTGTTCAGATCATGAACATTGTTGTCCCCACGGGAATACCTGTGATCTGTCAGCAGGAACGTGTGTCCCGAAAAGTGGCGCAGTGACACAACTTCTTCTCAGGAAACCAGCTAATCGCTTGTCCAAGGTATGACATATATCAGCCCTTTTAAATAACCCAGGCTTTTTAATTAAATAACTATAAATATAGGCACACTGCAGGCTTTTACGTAGATCAGTGGCTAAGCAGCGTGAGCGCGCAGGGTCTATATTTATAGTTATTTAAAGCGTCTGGTTACGAGGCTGTATGAGTTCGTTAAAGCGTAGGAAGCTAAAAACGCATCAATCAGGCCTATACTTGCAATTACTTGGAGAGGATTTTAAAAATATTAAGTCGACAAAGTGAAGGAAAGTGAGGCATTCCAAGCGAAGTAACATTTACTATTGGATTGAGCCTGTATATGAATCCGGGCCATCTTTGTCATCTGATCACATGACCTTTAAAAGTGGTTGGCTCATTTTAACTTGCATCTTCTGTGCGAATACTTGACCGAATTCAATAAAAATTGAACCATTTTAAAAAGGAAATTGCCCTCAATAGATAAATGTTTTTAGGTCTATATGTTGCAAATTCGCTATGATATTTACTTTAAAATGCATGCGATTTATTTTTGATATTATGCATCAAAGCGGCCTAATCCTAAGAATGTTGCCCAAAACGCAAACGAAAACTGGTTACAGTGATTTAGTTCACATTTCTAGGATCTTTTTGATATATTCAGCTTCAAAATCGAGCCTTTAGACGATTTTTGCCGATTTTTTACATAAACATTCATAATCTGCACAATGGTATGTATTACCGCATCGCTCACGGCTAGCATTTCACAATAATAAAAGAATTCAACCAAAATTTCGGGCAAAAAAAGCCGAAAAACTGACCCCTTGGACCTTGGTCCAATTCAGTTACGTCAGGGATCGATTTTTGGGGTCAAACGTTTATATGGAAGTTTATATAGAAATCAGTAAGGTAATATAGAACAACGTGGCCGGGTTAGGGCTATAGAGTGTTGAAATACCCGCTACCCCGTTCAAATTATTCAGTATTAAATTATGTCAAATAAAATATAAAGCGAATATCTGTGTTGTAAGTTTTGTCCGGAAACATTAAAAATAAAAATAGTTCCTGCATGGATGCATTATCAAACGCCAAAACGAAAGCTTAGTTGACAAACATACGCGTACTGATTTTTTTTAAAAAACGCGTCATCATAACGAAACGTGTTATTATAATAAAACTTGCATGATGCCGATATTTATCTAATAGTTTGTTTTCAATGCGCAAGTATTCCACGCTAGTCTATTCTGTTGGTAGTCTTATCTTTTGCAATCGGTAAGTCAACACATTTAGATAAGGAGTAGCTTCGAATTCACCACCATTGGAATCTATATGACATCACATTAGATCTAAAATTGTATTTTTTCCGGTCTCCAAAAAACAAAATCTTATCGTTTTAGGTCATGGACGTGCAATGCGATTCTACCCATTATTGCCCAGATGAAAACACATGCTGTAAACTGGTGTCTGGCGATTGGGGCTGTTGTCCTCTACCGGAAGCCGTTTGTTGTTCAGATCATGAACATTGTTGTCCCCACGGGAATACCTGTGATCTGTCATCAGGAAAGTGTATCCCGAAAAATGGCCCAGCAACACAACTCTTTCGAAGAAAACCAGCTACTCGCTTACACAAGGTATGATGATGATATGTGTCGATCACCAGTTAGAAGATTATCTTAAGGATTGTATACTTCTTAGGTTTCTGTGAGTATGGTAAAAATTTTGTTCAGGTGCAGTGTATTCCAACTGTCGGAGGATTTCGAAGACCCGCTTCCAACGTTGTAATTAGTGTTTTAATTAACAAGGGTGGGGCGATATTAGAAAAATCGAGACTCTTTACAATTTAGGAAATTCCAAAGTCTCGTTTTTGTTGTGACACCGTGCATATATATATATATATATCGCCGCAAGCTTCGCATAACTACATTTGAACTGATCGTGGTTTCATATATTATTTCAGGAAGGTAAACCAGTCAAAAACAAGTAAATGATTCACGGAAACTTCACGGACATTGGTTTTCTGGGACTTGCACGCTTCTGACAAATACGTATTTGCAGTTAGTTGTGCGAACATATAGATTCATAATTCTTAAGTTTTATTATTGATTATTTTAAAATATCCTGATAAGATACGGTAACGTTAACTTTGTTTACCGAGTTAAATTTGACATAGTTGGAAATGGGATTAAATTTATAAAGCTACTTATAATAATTATAACTAAATTTCATGATTTTTGGAGAATTTCACGCATGCGGGTGCACGACAAGATTTTGTTTTAAAAGCTCACTGAAATGTGCACACGTGCGATGTGTCAGGATAAAAAGATTTTTTATCGCCCGATTATCATTACTGTGTCTTAAAACGTTTTGACACTCTGCTTCACTGGCTACTAAATATACTCACCAGGCACTGCCTCAACAGTAAGTATCTACCTAATATGTAGATATGAGCTTTGTGATTTGCTTTTTGTAACAATAGTGAACAGTGTTTCATGATTCGTTCTTTTAGAAATCAATTTCTAAGTTCATTGTGTTTTACTGTTATCATCAACTATTAGCAAAGCTTGTTCAAATAGGTACGTGATGACCCCGGGCTCAAGCCAGTCCCCTATACTAGTTTAATAGATGAGAGATATATATGGACAGTTCGATTGTGATCTAAAAATTTCTTGCGCTCGGCGCAGGAAATTCTCACATTTGCAAATTTCAGTAAATTTTCAAATTAGATTTAAATTTTTGTTTTGCTAAATGAAATTGCAAGGCCGCATTTTTTACAACCTTTCACAATCGAACATGTTGCTAATCTTTGTGTACTTTTTCCAGCTAGTAATTCGCACCTGCTTGCCTTTAAAAGGTGCGTGAAGTTAAATCACCCGTTTTCCTGCTGCATTACGTCACATGAAGCTATAGACTTTCACAGTTTAAGTGAAGTTTAAAACTTGTTTGTACGTCATCAGCCGACGTACGATAGCACTGAAAGTCATTCACCCCGATTAAACAGTTGCGATATATATTATACAAATACACGAGAAGCGCACGCGCACAAAACAAACTCACCGATTTACGTTCATTGATTTACCATTCTACATTGCACTGATAGCAGTGATTTCCACAATAAATTCAACTGCTCAGGATGTCACCAGGACAAAGTTAAATGAAGACGATTCCAATGGAGTGGTGACGAATTATGAAGTTTGCTATCAACTTGGTTTTACAAAACTTGATTGTTCCACAAGCAGAAATGTAGGTAATATCGATAATTTGGTAGAGATAACTAATATAATCGCTGTTCGAGCTTACATCAAGATTGGAAAAGGACCACTTGGAAACAGTCAAGGTGCAAGAACGAGTAAAAGTAGGTGATAATTTCTTGTCATGCATGTAATAAAAATCTGCGTTGTGCAGTTGGTAGGTATATACCAAATTAACCGTAGAAAATTCTGAAAGCATTAAGGCACTTTTGCACGTCTCACTGTGCCCCGAGAAGCGGAATTGAACTTTAACATTCCAAAATGCATAAAATAGCTACTGAGTCCTTTGCGATGATTGATATTTGTTCAAAACCTGTGTCTTCCATCGATTTTTTAAATCACCAAGCACATCTGTTCAGGTTCTATAATACACTAAATCCCATGTTTGACTTTAACATGCCTAATGCATGTTAAGTATATATAATTTATTATATATTTGGTTTATAACGATTTAATTTTTACATGGATAGGAAAAGCAGTTATTTACCTTTCTAACAATACCTTTTGTAACAAATTCAAATTTGCTTTTTTTTTCACATCTAATCAGCTTACATGTATAATTAAAATAATAAGGTCATGAGACGTAGTGACAATACCTGAGATGATGACGTCATGAAACCTCACGAGTTATTTTCAGTCAATTGGCGTTTCAAATTTCTCATTATCCTAGGTCAATTCCCAATTTACAGCTGAATAAATAATTTAAAAAATCCTGTTATTGGGGTAATAGAATTACTTGATAGGTTCAAATACAGAATTTAGGACTTCATTTTGTTGACGTCCTTGAGATCAGTATCATGTAAAACTATGGGCACTTGGAAATGATATAAAATGTATAGCGATTAGCAATGAAATAAACTACACTGTATCCAAATTTGACAAAACTCGGACAATTCAAACAAAAATATACCATTCAGATTTCAGACCTATTTTTTTAAAAAAAATATTGATTATTGTCACTTAGTTGGTATAATAGAATCGAATCTGACATCGTCCCTTGTGTGTTGACCATTAACAACACAATCAGCTGTTGATTCACACGTGGAGAAAAAAATTATTAAAGACAGGCATCCTAAAGAAGTATTACAGCTTCTATACTCTACTGATTAGACTTCACACTACTGTATATTAATTTTATAAATTACTTTTTGAAAGGTATAGAGAACAAAATCTCTTTAGGCTTCAATATCATGTTCTTGAAGATTTTGAGATTTGAAGATTCGTAAAGAAATTCCAAAATCTCACGTGGATTTTTCTTTAGTTGGTATGTGGGAACCGACACCTTTTCTGGTAAAACCATAAACAATACGAGTTGTGTCGATTATAACGATTCCCACTCGACCTACGAAAGTTGCAGGGTGAGCTAGGTAACAAAATATACCGCGTGAGAACGACGAACAACGGATGAATTTTGGTAATATTTTGGTAAGATTGTATCCTTTAATTAATTTTTCAGAGAAATGAGTGGTATATCATTGTTGTGACTCTGATTTCTGGCATTGTCGTCGGAGTTCTCCTTTCCATACATTGTCTTATGCTCCCGTCGTAAACTTAATAAAGGAAAACTCAACTACCTGAACAAAAACGTCCAGCCTTGCAAGTTGATACAACTTATCAGGTGCTGGAACTTACAAAAATAAACAAAGAAAGCAATGATCAATCATTGATGGGTAATTTCGCAGTAACAAATGATGATGTAAATCATTTTTCGTCTCCTGTTCGTCGTGGAGAGTTCGTCTCCTGACGCCGTGGTTGTAACCTCATGGTTGAAATTTCAGTGTGCAAAGTTTGATTATGTCGTTGTCATACAATGTGTGTCTTGCTTGGACGGGAGAATACGAACTATTAAAGAAGTTTGTATCTGAAGATTTAGAGTTAAGTGGAGTATGGGATCAACCAGGCGGCGACAAGAAAGTATTTAAATCGTTTAATACCTCGATTTCCTGGAGAAAATCGAAATATTTGCTGTGCATTGATGGCCCCGAAGTGAGTGATATCACACAGCTTATATGTTCTAAAATTGTGGGAAGTCTAACAGCTGTAAGTGCAGCCAATGATACTAATAACAACACAAATATCTCAGACGTTTCATGTTAGACAACGGCTGATCTGCAATCTTGTTTATGCAAATGCGATGATGTTCGTCGCGATATTAAAGATCTTAAGTCGAGTCAAAGTGCTAATAATGAGGCTATCCAGGCGTTATCAGGAACTGTCGATCTTATGGCCGAGACCTGTGCGCATTTTCACGTAAAGCTTGCGTTAAACAAAAAAGAAAAAATAAGTCTAACACCGTTAAGACCCGTAACCTACATGAATTGCTTCAAGAATTCGATTTGCATATATCAGCTAATAATGAACAAAACACAATTGAGACAATATAAGTGATTGAAGCAACTAATTCTATTCAACCTAAGGTGAAAAACACTCCCGTACAAATTCAGACCAATTCAAATCCTCATTTGAATAACTCGACTGAAGCAAGTGTTCTTATATGCATGGCTACTGAGCCGCATCGACGCACTAAATTCTCCCAATTAAGGTGGTAAGGGCGGATTTCCACTTACAGCGAAATCGTTCGCTAGCGAAATATTTGCATATTTTCTTTTGAATTGAGAACAGTCAAGTCGAACTAATTTGGAAATCTACCCTTACATCGTACAGCACTCGCGTCTATGGGATCATATGTCATATACTCCCTCTTGTTCTCCACCAAATATGAGCCCCTTTTTTCCGGACCCACACGAATTACCCATATATTTTACCGCAAATAAGATTCCCTCCATTCGACGGTACGAGGTCACCAAATTACCACCCTTGGATGAACTACCCCTTCCATTCCTTTCCATTAATGGGAATCCGGCTCCCCTGTATTAGAACCCTCCACGGTCGGAAGCGGTAGGTTGCCTGGCTCTTCAACACTCCATGCCACTATTTCTAACTTGGCTACCTCCACCGTACCGCCCCAAGACAGGATGATAAATCTTCTAGATTATATTTGCCTAACCTATTGTTATCGGTTCGTTCCTTAGCTCCTAAAATTGATAAACTTGAAGAGGTTGCGAAACTGAATGAGGTTACCATCATTTGTATTACCGAAACGCGGTTGTCGTCTAATATACCAGATTCCGCTTTATTATTACCGATTTTTTTTCTATTTCGTAATGAGCGTTAATTCTCGTGCGGTGGCGGTGTCTGTATCTTTGTCAGTTGCGAAATCTCTTGCACAAGACTCGCCAAGTTTGAGAACCCCAATATTGAATCCCTGTGGCGCTCGTTAAGACCTAAACGGCTACCAAGATCCATTTCAATTATTCTTGTGGACGTTATATACCAAACGACATCGTCCGGTGCATCCAAGAACTGCATGCATGGGATTTATACAATCATATCCAAAGTGACATTGATATATTTTTTAGAGACCACTCCGTTACCATTGATTTTAATCCAACCAGCACTGGTTTCGACGTCAGTCGGGTTAAGAGGCTAACAGTAGCCTCCTCCGCAGGCATCTCTTATGTCTATATATTAGGCATTTATATTTGGCTTGGGTTAGCTGTGTCGGGGAGTGAGAAAAAAAATTGCTAGCGTAGCCAACCAGACAATTTAGTACCGCTATGCAAATTCTAAGTCACTATCGGTATTCATTTCATTAGTAATTGATTGTTTTCGTCGGGCATGCAAGCGACGCTACTACGCTACCATAACTATGGCGAGAGAGATTGGGCCATAAATTGCACAGTTTAACATACCTTTGAATGGCCAAAATCGTAGAGCGTCAAGTTGCATCAGCCGTTGGACAAAGTAAAACTGACGTCTGCCAAATTATTTCAGATTCTTTCTCGGATATATGAAATGAACAGTATGATGGTTTATTTTGAAATATAACAAGTTGTAATTGGTTATATCGTTTTGCTACATGTTATTTATCCGAAAAAGACAATTTTCCTCACCGCGTTAAATTGATTAAAGGCTGGTTTTCATTTGTGATAATTCGTGATAATTCGCATATCGTAATGTATCATATCATGGTCATATTTTTATCAAAACCGGAATAACGACAATTACGACGGAATCTGACAGTATTCTAGTCGTCTGTCCGATTGCTAATTCGAAAAACAAAATGGCTTTCATGGGCGACTTAATGTGTCAGGGCGAGACTATTCATTCCCCCGCTAAAATATCGACTAAGTTACGACTAAATAAATTGGATTGGGCTAATTTTGGTCTAAAATGGGCTAATTTTGATACGTGGGATTTCGCATAATAAGGAATTACAAGGAAAGAAATATAGCGAATTATGTGAAAACCAGTCTTAAGAATGCAAAATTGCCTCAGCAATTTTTTATGCAAATACAACTCAGATCGGCTGAACAAAGTGGCTCTTTTATCGTGTTCTCAAGCGTGTCGCATTACTGTTACGCAAACACTTTTAATAAAAGAATATAGCCGTATTAAGTCATTTTACACTTGTCTAAAGCCGGTTTGCAGATATATTTTTGGCGCAAAGCGACATTTTACTTTCGTTTCAAAGCTGTCAATCTCAGCCACCTGGAACAAATTGCTCCAAGACAAAAAATATAATTGGAAAAGTATCGCTGTTAGAAGTCGGCTTATCAAAGACCTAGACAACAGGAAGGAAACTCGAAACGAGCCTGCTTTTAAAGTTTAACGTGCCAGTTGGATAACTTTATAGTCGAGAACTTTTTCTTCTCAACAATTTATGGACTTGTAAATTGAATTTTAACATACCCCCCACCGTGAGGTGCTAAAGGAACGCTATCATGACATCATTAAAACCAACAGTCGTCTGTGCGTGACTAGAATACGCTTAGTCGTTTAAAATCATAGCGAAAGTTTTCGTTGAGATACTGGGAATTTTGATCCATCTTCGCGTCCGTGATGCGGAAAGGAAGCCTGTTATGGCAATTCGCTGGGTGGACTCTCGTAATTTTGGCCCTTCACGAGGTCAGATCGCAGACGAGTAATACCATAATGACAGGTATATTTTCAGGAATACCTTTGCAACTAACTGAGCCTATCGTGAGGGAAGCTGTATGAAGCATGCTTTACAGAATTTTAGGTTAACGTGATGAGATGGCATAACTCTGCCATGGTATACACTTTAGTTTCACTGCATATATCTAGCTATGTAACGTAACTTTTCCTGTTTGGATTGACTCGTGACGGGAAGATTGATTTCGAAATACAAACAAACGAGGAAGGCCGATGACTCCTGTATAAACAGCGTGCAGTGCATATAACGAAGATTATAATACCTATATATTCTAACAGCATGGCCATGCAGTATAGATCGCGAAATATGTCTAAACTCTACGCCAACATGCTGTGCGAGTCCGTTTGTCTTTAAGTTGCTGAAACTTGCATGCACTTCCGCGTTGTAGGCTTGGATAATTTTATAATTATGCAACAGGTTTATTCATCTTTATTTTACTGTAGTATCTCCGCACTATGTCTCGACTCCACAGGCTCTGACTTATATATACTGTTATGTAATAGTATAATTTCTCTGGTGATAATCAGTGCTTGAAACCCATTAATATACCCGACATCTGTCACTGGTAAAATCATTTTAGCTTTGACTTGTGAAATTCCGATAACAAAGATAATTTTAATTACAGCCAGACTCTAACATTCAATTCATTTTCGATTAATTTTTTTATATTCCTCACACTATATATGCTTGTTTTTTACTGTAGTTCTAAATATAGACTTCAAACCTTGTGGATTTCTATTGCATTCACCAATCGCGATATATGCATGGTACTTGTTGCAGAAAAATAAAGTAGTATAATTCTTTGACCGGTTTTCCGTCTTACTGTAAAGACTTTAGTATTTTATATGAACCTAACCGTGAATGGCAGCCTTCATTTGGCTTCAATTCAGATAGCGGTCAAAGTATCGTTCCAGTCTTTTTTAATTTCACTGCCGCAATCAGTCGAGCGTACCTCACAAACAGCAATATGAAATTGGACAGAAATATGCGTTTAGGTTACTTTAGCCTGTTTAAACTAACATAATTTGCCATTGCCCCCTATATAGACATCCTTATGTCTTGTTGAAAACGTTCTCATTCAAATATTATGAAATATTTCAACCAGTATTTAACAATGTTCATATGAAGATATAGTTCTTAGACAGTCTTATTCAAATGAAAGATACATCATGTGCAGCCTCGTACCCAGGCTCTTCAAACTATATATTAAAATGTAATAAGTGATCATATTACAGTATCATATAGAGTTCAGTTGAAAATGCGAATAACAGGGAGAGGAGATACAAACTGGGCGCGAAAGGGATATTGGGCTACTATAATATGATTACTAATTACATTTTAATATATAGTTTGAAGCGCCTGGGTACGAGGCTGCATCATGTAATTGATTCAGATAAAAAGAAATTTTCCGAGTGTTGAATTTAACAATTATTTAAGAGACTCCACAACATACCTGTTTTGTACCTTGAAAGTGGAAATCAAAAGTTATTTCTACAAATATTATCAGTATTTCGTATCGATCTGCCAATTTGAGTCATTTCACAATACAAACTTATACTCATTACAATGGCGAGGCCGCTATATATGATTTACAATATAGGGGACCTTAAGATTTGAAACCACGAATTCGAAAGTTTGCCTGTTTGAGATTGAAGCAATAAAGAGTGTCTGTTTCAAACTATGGAGAATATGCACACTTAGTCCACAACACACTTGAGTAATTTCTATTACCTGTTGAAACTCCACCATCCGATGGTCAGTATCCGTTTTGGCATGTTTACAAAACATCGCCACTTCGACAGCTATCGTTGACGAGCTATAAGGGGCAAATCACTATGTGCATCAAGTTGCACTTCTTCGACAATGAAAAGAGAATGGTTGATAATTATATAGGTTATTACGGACCTGAGATTTAGTGAAGAGTGCCCTAGTTAAGGTCTGGTTCGGCTACGACACCATGCAGTGATTTACTAACCTATAGATAATAAAAGGTGATGATAATCAAAAATGATTTACATGACGATGTGATGCCATTCTTGCCTTCCAAAACGCAAATACGATATTGCAAAACAGTAACACAATTCAACATTATGATTTTTGTTTGCCTTTTATCAACAACAAATGGCACTAAAACTGCCGAAGGTAATAAAAATTAAAAATTTCACTCTTTATATGTTTTATAAATAGATTCCTGTGTTCATTTTCTATTTTAGCGCCAATGAATGTCATGACAACTAGCACAGGTAACAATAAAAAGATTAAAATTTGGCCCGATTGCCCACTACAGGGTGTATACTAAAACAATTAGACAACTTGGACTCGTTGTTTAATTGTTAAATATACTTTAAGAGCTAATTTACTTTAAATTTGATGTCAACATGCATGCAAAATTATAGGAATAAAGAAGATTGGAACGTAAAGCTATTAATAGGCTCTCTAAAATGTTAATAAACCTCAATGCGCTGAGATAATAGACTGTTTCGGCTATTCCTAAATCTGCTACTTACTCCTTGTGACGATCTATAAACCGTCGTACTTGTCGACAGTCTTCTGGTAGTATACAGGTCTGGCCCGGTCTAGATGGTGTGCATGACTATGTGATGTCATTCTTGCCTACCAATTAATGACGATTCATGCATCATTGTGATTTTTTTTACTTTTAGCAACAACGAATAGCACTAAAATTATTGAAGGTAATAATATATTATTACTATTATTATAAAACGCTTTAGTCCTGATATTCCTGATGAAAGCGTTACCATGCTTGTTTTTATTTTAGAACCAATGATAACTGTCATGACATCAACCACAGGTAACAAAAAATCCCCGACGACAGTTGAACCCTTTTTACTCTTAGCAACAACGAATTACACTAAAGCTACCGAAAGGATACTTGGTGGAGTGATCACTACACTTTTTTATTTTAGCACCAATAATGACTATCATGACATCAACCACAGGTAACAAAAAAACTCTGACGAAAGTTGAGCCCATTTTACTTTTAACTACAATGAATTTCACTAAAGCTACCGAAAGGGTACTTGGTGGAGTGATCACTACACTTTTTTTTTAAGCACCAATGGCTGGCACGATAACCACCACCATAGGCGTACGAGACAGGGGGGCAGGGGGGGCAGTTGCCCCCCCAAAAATTTCGAGAATCAAGAAATTCGGGCAAAGTTCAGCCGAAACTTCGGGCAAACTGAAAGCTAAATTACATAGCTAAAATTTTTAAAACCAAATTTTGTAATATATATAACATATTTGTATTCTATTTCGCTATTTTTGTTATACTTTCTTAAAAGTCCATCCGCCGCTTTGCCAAATCTATTGTTACAAATCTGGTAAAAGTTATAATTCGGGCACATTGTGTAATTCAAAAATTCGGGCGATTTTTTTTTGCCCCCCCAAACGAAGTTGCGCCCGTACGCCTATGACCACCACAGGTAACAAGTCACAAATAATCATGGTTACGTAAACGCTCGCGGACATCACCAGATAGCAGCAATGATATTTTACTGACCTAAATTAAAGTCAATCAATTGACAATAGATTAAAAAAGGTTACATCTTCTGATAATTTCGTCACTATTTCGACGTTTTTAATTTAGAAAGTCTTTAAATAAAGATACTCATTCAACTGATTAAAGAAATTCATTCAACTGTATGATAAAATTTACTATTATAATTCTTCCTTGACTTTTAGCATTAGTACCTAGCATGACTGACCAGCTTTTTATTTTGTTTTGCTTATTATAAGTCTTGCTTGACTTTTAGCATTAGTACCTAGCATTTCAAGTTCAAAATTCAAAGGTGAAAGTTACACAAAAATTAAAATGAATATTAACAAAATTGTCCTATGTGCTAAGGAGATTGTTAATATTAATAATTAAGAATAAAACTTTGTTTGGAGTAACATTCCAACAACCAAAGGAAATGTATATATTTATTTATTTGAATATATATACGAATATCTACGAAGAATAATTACTAGATTTTCCTATTCATACGTTATATAAAGGCCACCGCGTATGAAAAACTAATATTCATCATTATTTCTTTTTACCTTTCAGCACTAACGTCAAGCTCCACAGCCATTAAAGGTAGTATGTACACATCAGACTGAATAAGAAGTTGAAATGTAGATTCTCTATAGTTCGCCGATTTGCTAACTGACCCGCTTTCTATTTTGTTTTGCTTGTTATTATTCGTCCTTGGCTATTAGGGGAAATGGGCGTCCCTGTACATAATATAAACAGTTTAATTTAAAGAAAATAAATAAACAGTAATATAAACAGTTTAATTTAAAGAAAACTGTAGTACTGTAGATATTTTACAAGGAAATTAATAATATCAATCGTTATAAATAAACGCATAGCATCAATTAACACCGCTCCAACTACCAAAGGTAATATAAGGTAATGACTACCAGGTTTTTCTGTTAATACGTAGTATTACGGTCACCTTATAAACATATATGTATCTTCTCTCTGCTTCCAGGACCACTGTCTAGCTTCACAGCTACCGGTACCAAAAGTAAGGTTACAAAAAATTGATTTGTTGTGAATATTCCCCATATTACCATAATTATTATACATACTTTCTGAGAATATAAGCTGTTTGCTCCTATTCAACAAAATAGTCTTAAAAGCAAGATATTTACAAGTCTTTTTTTCACTTGGCCAAAGGCAGAGTGCAAATAGTAATCGATAAAGAGTTACCAGATAGTATTCATACAATTTGCTTTTATATATTTTTTTACTTTTATAGCATCAAAACCTAACGTTCCAACTTCCAAAGTCAACGGTAATACCAAGAAATTAATATTAAGGAAACTGTAGTACTGTAAACAGTATGCAGACATTTGATAAGATAATTAAAAACATTATTCATTATATGAATTCAACTTTTTATTATATTCATTTTGAAATCAATGATATTTCGTTAAAAATAGTGTGATTAATTCTTAAATCGCACTATTTTGGAGCATTAATCACATCATTTATAAGCCAATAAGATTGAAGCTCATCACCACAATAACCAATCAGGGGCTGGTTGTATATATCAAGCCCGTTTAGCTTAAACGGTGGATAAGTCAAAATTAAATAACACTCTTACATCCCTCTTGAATGAGTCAACTTGAATATTATACACTGAATGTGTAGTTGTAGTTGTAAGCAGTATATTTGTATTAAGGTTAAAAACATTTAGTTCGCTTGTTGAATAAAACGATGGACTCGCTTTCTATTTTGAACTTATCCACCGTTTAAGCTAAACGGGCTTGATACAACCGGCCCTAGATTTAGTATCTAACCATCCAATCAAATTACAGAAGATGGGAAAAAATTTGAATTTTTAAATGCCCTGAAAAATTTCTTGACAAAAATAGATGAAAATTGCCCCATATTTAAATCGTTTACGGTTTTGAAAACTCTCGAAAACGTTACCGTCTAAACTGATAGTCTTAAAGTAACCGTATAAAAATCCTTATGATTTTTTTTTCTTTTAGCACCAACGCCTGGCTTTACATCTACAAAAGGTAAGATACAAAATAGATTAATTAAAACTTTATAGATTTCCCTATAAGAGATAAATTCCATAATATGGTTTGATCCTACTCGACAAGTATAGTCGCTAAAAGACAGACAATTACAAGCCTATCCTAGCTCACTAGGCAAAAGGCGGAGTGAATATTTGCCTGTGATCATCAGGCGTGAGGCGACTAATTATTTTCGAGTATAAATTTACAGATTAAAAATAATTATCAGCACACATCACAAGTGTCTTCTATTTTTATACTCAAACACAAATTTCTAGAAAGCGTGAATACAGAAAGTCACTTTATAAACATATTTACCATTTTTTTTTTACTTCTAGGACCACTGCCTAGTTTCACTGCTACCGAAAGTAAGGTTACAAAAAATTGATTAATGTGAAATCTCCATATATACATCGATTCCGAGAATAAGCTGTTTAATCCTATTCAACAAAATAGTCTTAAAGGCGAGATATCGATAGTTACAAGTCTTTTTTCACTTGCATGGCTTAAGGCAAAGTTCAAATAATAATCAGCCCACATCAGTCACTTCATTTCTATTACGCCAAATAAAATCCCACGGTTTTGTGTTTTATCACTTTCACGGCAAATACATGAAAAACATCCAAAGAATTTAATACATATTGTTGAGTTGATTTCTTATAATTGCATGGTCTTCGACTTTTATATATATTATAGCATATTTACCATGAGTAGGCTGTATAATTAAAGCTGCTCTAACGTTTCAACTTCCAACGTCAAAGGTAATTCGATAAAGAGTTCATAATGCAGATAGTATTCAAACAATTTGCTTTTATATATTTTCTACCTTTATAGCATCAATACCTAACAATTCAACTCCTAAGGTCAACGGTAATACAAAAGAAATTATAAAATTAAGAAAACTGTAATACTGTAAACTGCATGCAGTCATTTGATAAGAAAATTAATAATATTAATGATTATGAATTAAACTTTTTAGCTTCAATTACCACCGCAAATTCAACTACAAAAGGTAATATACGACGAGTAATTAGGTAATACAAGGTGTTATTACATGCATGTTGATAGGAGATTTAAAATAACCGTAAAAATCCTATTTATGATTATTTTTTTACTTTTAGCACCAATGCCAAGCTTTACATCTACCAAAGGTAAGATACAAAATAGATGAATTAGGACTTTTATATAGAGATAAATTCCATAAGTTATTTTGATCCTATTCGACAAGTATATATCGTCGCTAAAGGCGAGATAATCACAAGCCTATATCCTATATCATGTAAAGGCGTAGTGAATATTTTATGGGTGTGAGGCGACTAATTATTTCCGATTATTATTTTTAACATGTAAATTTATACTTAGCACACATAAGTGTCTTCTATTTTATTATTCAAGCACGAATTTCTAGAAAGCGGGAATCTATAAAGGTCACTTTATTAACATATTTACCTTTTTTACTTCCAGGACCACTGCCTAGCTTCACAGCTACCAAAAGTAAGGTTACAAAAAAAATTATTACTGTGAATTCCCCATATATATACATAGATTCTAAGAATAAGCTGTTGGTCCTATTCAACGAAAAAAGGCGAGATATTTACAAGTCTTTTTTCACTTGGCCAAAGGCAGAGTGCAAATGATAATCGATATCAGCACACATCAGTTACTTTATTTCTTCTATACGCTAAATAAAATGCAACGGTTTTATGTTTTACCACTTTCACGGCAAATACAAAAATATCCAGAAAATTTAATACACGCGCATATTTAATAATTATATTGTTGAGATTATTTCTTATACTTCACTTTTGTAGTCGTCTTCGACTTTTAGCTATATAGCATGTTTATCATGAATAATTAAATTAGCCTTTCTCACGATGACGAATATGCCACCATTTTTGGGGTACTTTTTTCAAAAACCGGGTGAGCGTAAGACTTGGTAACGGCGACTGTCTTTAATTTTAGGCTGAATTTGTTCTTCAAATGGTCTGTTTATTCTAAAAATATTGCTTTTGATGTTTAAACATAATTTTTAAACCCATTTCAGAAAATTGAAAGTACCCCAAAACGTCATCGTGAGAAAGGCTAATTTGCTGTAGATACTCGCTAAAGAGATCACCAGCTATAGTATTCATACAATTTGCTTTTATAACCCTTTTTTACTTTTATAGCATCAATACTTAACGTTTCAACTTCCAAAGTCAACGGTAATACAAAGAAATTAATAAAAAGTTGATACCCAATAAAAAGATCACCAGATAGCTAGTAATCATACAGTTTGTCTTTATATATTTTTTACTTTTATAGCATCAATACCTGACGTTCCAACTTTCAAAGCAAACGGTAATACAAGCCCCGTTTACACGATACTCACACTAATAAACTTAGCCTGCATGAACACTAATAAAATTGGGCACGGGTACCAATTTTAGCCGTGCGGTGCCAATAAATTGAGTGTAGTGTAAACGGGGCTACAAAGAAATTAATCATTAAGAATAATGTAGATATTATAAACTGTAGATATTTGATAAGAAAATTAACAACATTAATCATTATGAATTAAACTTTTTAGCATCAATTACCAACGCTTCAACTACCAAAGGTAACTACGTTGAGTAATTAGGTAATAATACAAGGTGTTATTGCATGCATGTTTATTGGAGATATGAATGTAGGAGATATAAATCGCAAAATTTATGATTATTTTTTTACTTTTAGCACCAACGCCTAGCTCTACATCTACCAAAGGTAAGATACAAAATAAATCAATTACAACTTTATAATGATCCCCTATAGAGATAAATTCCATAAGCTGGTTTGATCCCGTTCGACAAGTAGTCACTAAAGGCGCGATAAATACCAGCCTATCCTCGCTGGGCCATGCAAAGGCGGAGTGAATATTTGCCTGTGCATCGTGCGTTAAGGCGACTAATTATTTCAGTATAAATTTACTGTTTAAAGTAACAGTTTGCCGGTTAAATATAATAATTAGGACACTTTAAAAGTGTGTTCTAATTTAATATTTAAACACAAAGTTTTAGAAAGCGTGAATTTTTTTCATCATAGACATAGAATTAAACTGCCATGGTTAATGATTTTATCTGCTTTGTATAATTTTTGTGTCTCGTTTATTTTGCGGACAAACAACTCCAATCGAAAACTCCGATCATTAGACTAATTTTTGATCAAAGTAACTAAAAGAAAATAAATCATTACAGCTAGAAAGATCTTACTTAAATTCGTGTAAAAACAAAATTTGGCTGCGAAAATTTATAAAATACGGAAAATATAGCCATGCGAAGTTCGCAAATTTTGTATACTTTTGTATTACGTGCGGAAATGTGTAACTAATGTGTATATTCTAGAGTTTTAAAGGGTCTTAAAATCGAGTGGAATTACACACACTTCAAATTCAAGGCAGGAACAGTTGAAGAAAAAATGAGTAAACTATAGATCCTCCGGCAGGAATCGAATCTACGCTTTTGCGATGCCGGTGCAATGCTCTTGCCACTTTAAGACCCTTAAAAACTCTAGAATTTACGTGCAACGAGTGAAGTGCCAAAATCACATGTATTACGTGCGGAGATGCAACTCCAGTCCCCTAGCTGAATTGAAGTGGCAAGTTTACAAATTCAAAATTTATCGTGCAAGCGCTCTTCAGTTATATCTCTTAAAAAATTAGTGGCGTAAAAGTTGGAATATTTAATTTGACAAACGTTTGTTTAGTTTCCTCCCATTGTTAGATAGTCATGCATTAGTTTCCTCCCGTTATTAGATAGTCATGCAAAATGTATACAGATTGTATTGCGACACGTATATAATACTCTGAGTTCTAAATAGCCATTTCCGAGAATCTTTTAAGAGCAATATCGCTCCTATAACAGATGGATTATGTATGCTGTCCTCATATCATGTTTCACTTACACTAGTCACTACATTTATGGCGGGCCGGAGATGTGATGATAAAAATGTCAGGGATATAATTCCTTAATATAATAATATGCCAGTGGCAGTGCGGAGAAAGTCACGTCCAGGGTCACGTCCGCCTTCGTGCATACGGTATTATTATTTGTCCTTATAAGATCATATTCACAGTATGAATGACAGAATATTCTAGTTTCGTCCCCGCAGACAAGGAGGACATGTGGGATTGTGTCTTGAGTTACTGAGATAGACCTGGCAAGTATATATATACGAGTAACCAGACATGCGCGATTTCGGTAAGATGTGAAAAAAAGTTCCTAAAACCAAACGAGCACATATATAACTACTAGCCCCCGTTAATCATGTTATCAAAGTAGCCAAAGTACGCTGTACGCTACTGACTGACTTTCAAGAGAGTTTTCAGTAGCAATAATTTTTCTAAAAAGCAATATTTAGCTTTGACCCGTAACGATTCGGAAGAAATTAACAAACAAAAAAAGCCAAACAAAAAATCGCGTCGCAGGGACCCACATAGAAAGCATACGATGTGGCAACGCGGCGCGATTTTTCAAAGTTCTTAATTTTCCAATAGCAAAGAAAGTTTAATCTTTTAGGCTTTCATTATATTCTTGTTATTTAACGATAACACATTTTGACTGCTCTGGCGTCCATAGACTCCAAATTTTGCTTCCAGAATACTTAGCTATATATGCTTTTGAAAACTGAAAATTCGCGTCGCGTTGCCGCATCGCGTCATAAATGAGAAGCAGCTTATGTTTATTTCGAGATCCCTCCTACTTCTGCTTCTCGTCACGTCCTGGCCATTCAAACATGTCAACAATTCATCACTACAAACAATAGTTGCAAACATTCGATGTTTCGACATAACGCATATCCTGCACACACCGCATTATTGTTCTGTTGCCCGCAAGACGTGTTAATTAGGTTTCCAGCCAGTGTAAACACGCTGAATCGGACACCTTCTAACAAGTCGACTAGTTACGAAGATACAATACATTTTTTGGCTGCAGACTGCATGGTCCTATTGTTTGTTTCCCATACCATGCCCAAGAGCATGGCGTGATTGGTGTCATCTTGACCAGATAAAGAAAGTTTGATGTAAAAAATCATAGACCAACTCGTTTTGTTTATTCGGCCGGCTTATCTCATTGTCCATTTCAACCTCGTACCCAGGGTCTTTATTCGTTGTGTCCATTTCTCTAAACATCGAGTCGGTGAAGTTATTGACCGTTGTTGGAAGCTGGTATAAACTAAACGATATGTCACCGACTCTTATCAGGATTTCTTTCGTCTTGTATTTTTGCGTCTCTGCCCGCATAAATTCTTGTGGCATATAACTCCCGTAATCTTAATCGAAGAATGATGTAATTTTAAAGACGTTATTGTCCTGGGCTAATGTTGGAATATTCAATTGCATGTGTTTTGACAAACGTTTGTTTAGTTTCCTCCCGTCGTTTGATATTCATGCATTAGGGCGTGTCCCTTAATTGCCCTGATAAAATACGAAAATGACCAGGATATTTTCGCCCCCACCAATGCGATGATACAATATACTTTGAAAGAAAATCTACTAAAAATCGAGTATTTATATAAAATTGTATACAGATTGTATTACGACATGTATATAATACCCTGATTTCTGAAATAGTCATTTCCGAGGGTCTTTAAGAGCAATATCGCTCCTATAACAGACGGATTATGTATAATGCTGTCCTCATATCACTTTTCACTTACACTACATTTATGGCGGGCTGGAGAATGATATTTGTGCTATTTAGCACTGATGACAGCCTGATAAAAATGTCAGGGATAAAATTCCTTAATATATGCCAGTGCGGAGAAAGTCACGTCCAGGGTCACGTCCGCCTTCGTGCATACGCTATTATTATTTGTCCTTATATTCACAGTATGAATGACAGAATATTCTATAGTTTCGTCCCCGCAGACAAGGAGTATGTGTGGGATTGCGTCTTGAGTTACTGAGTTAAACCCGGCATGTACTGTATATATACGAGTAACCAGACATGGGCGATTTCGGTAAAATATAAAAAAGTCTCAATATAAAACCAAACGAGCACATAACTATACTAGCCCCCGTTAATCATGTCATCAAATCAGCTACAGTACGCTGTACGCTACTGACTGTTTCAAGACAGTTTTCGGTAGCTATTATTTTGCTAAAAAGCAATATTTATCTTTGACCCGCAACGATTCGGAAAAATTAAAAAACAAAAAACTCGAACAAAAAATCACTGGTGGGTTCCTTAGGGTGGATTTCCACTTACACGTTTTTCATACGAACGTACATGCACGTTAAAGTGTAAATCCTTATACATGCTACCTTTGAAAAAACTAAGTGAATAAATCGAAGGAACTTAGTTTTCTGCATATTTTAGTATGCATTAGTCGACCTAGATTTTAAATAATAAAAATTTAAAATTTTCCGTACGTGAACGCGCGTATAAACAACGCATAAGTGGAAAGCAGCCTTAATTAAGGACCTCAGGGTATTTTTCAAAGTTTTTAATTTTCCAATAGCAAAGAAAGTTTAACTTTTAGGCTCTCACTATATTCTTGTTATTTAACGATAACACATTTTGACCGCTCTGGCGTCCATAGATACCAATTCTTGCTTCCAGAAAATTTAGCTATATGCTTCTGCCATTCGCGTCGCGTTGCCGCATCGCCCATAAATGAGAAGCAGCTTATCTTACTTTCAAGAGTCCCTCCTTCTGCTTCTCGTCACACCCTGGCCATTCAGACATGTCAACAATTCATCATCACGCGCAAAAGTTGCAGACATTCGATGTTTCGACATAACGCATATCCTGCGCACACCGCATTATTGTCCTCCCACTAGCCCGCCATTTTTTAGGCCATCAAGACGGTTTCCAGCCAGCGTAAACACGCTGAATTGGGCCCTTCTAACAAGTCGACTAATTACGAAGATACAATAGATTTTTTGGCTGCAGAGTGCATGGTCCTATTGTTTGTTTCCCATTCGATGCCCAAGAGTATGGCGTGATTGGCGTCATTTTGACCAGATAAAGAAAGTTTGATGTCAAAAATCACAGACCAACTCGTATTGTTTATTCGGCCGGCTAATCTCATTGTCAAATGTCAATTTCAACCTCGTACCCAGGGTCTTTACTCGTTGTGTCCATTTCTCTGAAACATCGAGGCGGTGAAAATGTGAAATCATTGATCGTTGTTGGAACTAAACGATATGTCACCGACTCGGAACTCGGATTTGTTTCGTCTTGTATTTTTGCGTCTCTGCCCGCATAAATTCTTGTGGCATTTAACTTCCGTCATCTTTATATAAGCATGATGTAATTTTTTAAGACGTTACTGTCCTGGGCTAATATAGTGGCAATATGCGCAATCGTAGCGGGGGGAATTCACTAATTTCTGCATTGTACCTATGAAGCTGGTTGTATAAAATTCATACTGTAGCCTGTAGGAAGGTATAGTATATTTTCATTGATGATAAATATTCGTATAACATCTATATTAACTGCCTAAAAAAGAACAATTATGTTATAGCAGAAAAACGATCAGAATTTTATTATCACCTCCCAGGTCAGTAAGAAAAAAGTAGTGTTAAAAAAAGTATTGTGTCACAGGTCAGCTACGAATTTCTATGAATTTAGAAACGACAAACGAATTTCTTGCTAACTAGATTATGCTTTGCGTACAAAGGAAGATCAACGTCGAGTACAGATATTCACAGATCATTTGTTTGGACTCATGGCGCGGTCTATTTGTTACTTATAGGTTTTTCTGTTTTCTTCTTATATAAGCCTTTATTGACCGGAAAATTGTGAACGACCCCATTTTAAAAACTAAATTTCAATATGCGTGAAATCGGAAAGATTTACACGCAATTGATGTTAGTTCATATAAAATTCGGGCGTGTATATTAAAATGCGTGCTGAATATAAATTAAGGAGCTCATTGCGGAAGTAGTTTGTCTTTAACGCGTCAATATATTTGCACGTTGTGTATTCTTTGTGTATTCAAGCGACTTATAAATTCAGCATTCCTGTTTCATACCGCCTACCGGGGAAAAAGGAACGTCTATATTATTACTCTGTATTCAAGAGAGGTATACTTCGCCTACGCCTCACAAAATACTGTGGCGATTTTTAACGAGGCGAAAGCTTTCGAAAAACTCGTGAAAGTTTTGGGAATTTTAAAGGCAATCTAAGACAAGTGTATTAGTAATCAGCTGATAATAAAGGCGATGAAGGAAAGAAGCCTGTCACGGCTATATACGGCATGGCTTATCGGTGTATTGTTGGCTATAGCTATAACTGATGTCAGATCAGGTATGAACGAATAAAAGAGACAACATTTAGCCTTGTTGTTTCAGTGCGTTTTTCTCTGGCAATAAAGAGTGACATAAGGCGATGAGTTACACAGAGGATAATTATATTTCAGACAGCCATGTTTTTTGTTTACATCACATTTCGATCATTATGATTGAATTTTAATACGAAATTCCGGTGAGGTTAAGTCGCAAGTCGTGACGAGGCAAGTAATGGGTTGAATAATTTGAGAATATAAACAATCCCTTATTTCAAAGCATCGTCAATACCTTATACACTCTGGTTCTTTGATCACGAACGCCAAATTAATTCTAAAACTATAAATTTTGAGTCTAAATGTTTTCAAGTTGCAGAAACACTTCCGCCTTGTACCTAATTTCATACTGTACTGTTATTTGATCTCGGTGTAATTAAACAGGTTTTCATTTTTTGTACAATTAACCAGACCATCCAATGTAGGCCTACAGCGATATGCGTTGAAATTCTGATATAATTGTGAATAGGTGTGCATATGTTAGTCCTTTCTTTTTTATATAATGTGGCAGGAAATGAAAAATTTTGCTTTCACTATAGTGAAGCTCGTTCCCGCATTAGGCTATAGTTCCAAATTCCAAGTGCACGGAGAGCAGTGATTACAGCGTAATTGCCTAAGTTCAATAAGGCCATGCTGCCCATGCACCCTTGCATATGGACTATGTTCTGAACCAGTTGTATAAAACTCCTATTTGTCAGTAGTTGAATCATTAAGGCAACTTTAATATGGCTATACAAGTCTGTATGGCTATCCCTGCAATGATTTTTGTCAGTGGCAGATACTTTATGAATATTGGGGGGGGGGAATTATTTTGAGGTTTGCCATTTTTCCATCTCTCTTCTTCCCCTTGACTATTCATTGGCTAGTGACTTTATGCTACTGCCCATGAATAAGGACATTGGACAAACTTGGACAAACTTCTTGACCATTGGGTGAATAAAAAGTCTGAGTTGTGCCATTTCACTGACATTATATTCATTCTATTTATTCTACCTGCCTCCCTAGTGTCTGCTTTTTGTAAAATATAGAATACTTAACAATTAGTCAGGTGAGGTGATTACAAGGTAGTATTCACTGAGCCGAAGGCAAATCTATAGGTTTGTAATCACCAAGCCTAAGGCGACTAATTGTTTTAGTACAAATTTACAAATAATAATCAACATAATTTCAACAAAATTTATAATTACTTCAAATTTCTTATTTGAAAAACAACAACAAAAAGTTATATATATAGACACTGACCAGTGACTATCACTTCAGAAACAGTAAATCTTGACCAATCAGAATGCAGGAAAATCAATCAAAATTTACACTGAAATGATTATAGTTATACAATTAGCTCATTAAACAAGATCTTCTTGACCCCTATATATATTTAAGCAAGGCTAGTTAATGAGAGTTTAGCCTCACTTGTTAAAATTGTCAAGTTGGGCAAGGGAGTTAGCCAACCTCTATATTAATATTTTAAATTCCATATACCTAATTGTTTATAAATATATACTAGTTGAATGTATTGAAATTAAGCTAAAATGTCATATGTAACAATGAGAACTGAGGGAGACCCTTTTTTTATTTTGGCAAGACATGTACACCCTTACCACAACTGAAATATTCCCACAGACTTGTTTTGCTAATTAACACTCAACAGCCCTCTATTTGGTGTTGCACAGGCATTGTACATTCCTTCAAATACAAGAGAGGTTATTATTATATGGCAAGCATCACTTCCGGTGAATTAGTTCAGTGATGGGCTGCGAAGAATTTTCAGCGGTGGTCCATTACCAATCCATTACTTATAATTACTTTCCCAAAATGGACAGGCACTTTCCCGTAATGGACCGACCGTCCGACGTTACCGGCGATCCATTACGAGATGAAAAACAGGGGAATTCTGAATGAAAAAGACACAAATGCTCAAGAGAAAATTTAATTGCTTTTAAAAGTATTATCAAATGCGTGCCAGGCTACTATTAAATACGAATTGTTTCAAGTGCAAATACACGCCTTATATGCCATATGATAAAAATTTTATTGACCTCGCTTTCTCGGTCTTTACCAGGGTTAAAAAAGAACTCGGTCCGATATTTCTCCGTAAAGACCGCACGCTCGGTTAATAAGAAGTTAATAAGTGCATAGTGCTTTTGTTACCTAGCAATGGACGACTTGCGCTTTAGACTAATTTTTGATCGAAGTAACTAGAAGAAAATAAATCATGACAGCTAGAAAGATCTTACTTAAATTAGTGCAAATACAAAGTTTGGCTCTGAAATGTTGTAAAATACGGAAAATATAGCCACGCGAAGTTGGCAAATTTTATATACTTTTGTATTACGACCGGAAGCGTGTAACTAATTTAGTTACACATTTCCGCACGTAATACAAAAGTATACAAAAATCTACAACTTCGCGCGGCTACATTTTCCGTATTTTACAAAATTTCGCAGCCAAACTTTGCATTTGCACTAATTTAAGTAAGATCTTTCAGAAAATGTCCTTTTTATTGCCGAGGTAAGAAATTAGTCTAAAGCGCAAGTCGTCCATTATAATATAATTAATTATAATATTTAAAACTGCTGTTGATTGATACTTGAATTAGAAGTTCTAATTGTTGGTAAAACTTTTCATAATCTTTCTATTATAATTTTTATGAGACAACCAAAAGTAATTTACTTAATTATTCTCTTGCTGCTCTTGCATTTAGACACAAGTAATACCACTATGACTACCAAAGGTAATGTATGATGAATAGTCAAAGCAAAAGATTTTACTGATAATTCATGCAAGACCTGATTAATCTTTTCTGGGCTAGTACATATACCTTTTATAAGGGCCAGTCATGGCTCAAAAAATATAGATAATTTTTAGGTGGCTGCATGCGAGTGTCTGATCTTCTCTTCCTGATCAGAGTACTATTTGATCGTCATGTTGATTAAATTATCAACTATCTTTCTCTCGATTTTTTTGGGCTAGAGAAAATTCAAGGCTGAGGGCAACTGCCCACCTTGCCCCTTCGGTAATCTGATGCTGAATACATGATATGAACTAAGAGATTACCAAATTGTACAAAAATGTATCGTAATTTTTCTTTTCAACAATTAGCACCAACTCCTGTCACTATAACACCTATTTGAGTGTTTTATATATGAACATTAGAAATTAGGTGTTACTGTCATACTTATATGAAGAGATCGCCAAATAACGGCAAATAGTAGTGGGAGTTATCATTATAGTTTTGCTTTTAATTTCTAAAATAATGGCTTTTGTTGATACTAAATTTAGGGACTGCTGATTAATAATACTTAATATAAAGAATACGTGATTGTTTCAAAATGTATCGTAATCTTTCTATTCTCATTTTTATTAACTTCCAGCAATATTACTCCCCCCACCATTTCCTATTCCCTGGCCCCTACGCCTATGTTACCGTTGATACTTCATGAATAAAGTGAAGACTAAGTCACTAAGAGATTGCTAGATAATACTAAAATGTTTCATTATGTTTCTTTAGCACCAACCTCTGTCACATTAACACCGAAAGGTAATATACGATAAATATTTTATTTTTTCCCCATTGATAAATGAGAACGAGACTATCACTAGGGTGGAAGCTTAATTGAGAACCTCACCTAAGTTCTTGCTGTCCTCCTTCCCCCCAAATCCTAGCTATGCCTCTGATCCATAAAATAATTCTTTAAATTTAGCAACAACGACTATCACTCCAACTATCAAAGGTAATATACGAAGAATAATTGAATTGATTCATTGTCGATTCTCTGTATATGATTCGCTGACCTTTTTATATACTATTACATAGAGATCAGTGGATTGATTCAGTTGCTTTTTAATAGTTATAAGAGGTTCAAGCGTTTCTGAAGAAAGCGTGTGCTATACCTAACCAACACGGAAATTTCCCCGCTAAACTTAATATCGTGAAGAAAATTAAAGTAAATTATCAAACTCCAAACAGCCTTTAAAGACCCTTTGTAGCCAATACGTTACTCTCTTTGCAGTCCAGTTTTCCCCACCCGGAGGCCTAACGAGTGTAGCTATCTAAAAGACGAGGGTCGAGTGTAAATCCGAATCCTGGGAACGAGACTAGCAATATGGTGGAAGCTGGAGGGCCCCACCTACAATCATGTGCAAAAATTATTGAGACACGGTCATTACACCTAGTATCAACCCACTTCTTTTCCCAAAACAATGTTGTTCCTATGATACCACTGAGCCATTTGATTTGCCGAAAATATCACTCTCAACATTTTCAATGGGAGATGGGGGGAATAGTCAATAATTAAACGAAGTACGTGACAAAATAGTTGTCAAAATGAAATGTGTTTAAGATACGTAAAGTCTCATAATTTTTGCATATTATTGTAGGTTCTTGCTGTCGCCCTTTCCTCCATCTCTGTATGGCTACGCCTCTGATCCGTAAAATAATTATTTACCATGATTTTCTTCAAATTTAGCAACAACGACTGTCACTCCAACTATCAAAGGTAATATACGAAGAATAATTGAATTGAATCATTGTCGATTCTCTGCATATGATTCGCTGACCTTTTTATATACTATTACATACAGGTGATATTACTTACAGTAGAATGATTCTCTTGCTTTTTAATAGTAATGAAGCGTATCCGAGGCAAGCGTGTCTGTATGCTTACCTAATACGGAAATTTTCCCGCTAAACCTTATTTCGTAATGAATAACGTTAGAAAGTTGAGACTCGAATCCGCAGCGCTGGCTTGGGGGTAATACACCCAAATAATATAATCGTAATAAAAAATGCTTTTCTGGAACGCTACTTTATGATTGTTATCGTGAAGCCAAAATTTGCGGGGCTTTACCTCCAGACACGCGTCTAAAGTCCCGCAAATTTTTGGTTTCATTCGCGGGTGACTCACGAGACTACTGCAGATGCAGAGCGAATTTGAGAGAAATTTTGTTTTTTGTTTGTTTCATGGTTTTAAATGCTTTCTTTTATGGAATTATAATGGAATTAATGTTAAATTCAACCAGGTGAACTGTTTTACGAATTACGACTGGAGTTGCCGATCGGTTTGGAAACAAATTCTCTTAAACGGAAAAGTTTATAGCGATGTGCAATTTTGACAACAATATTAGTACGAAACGGATATCCTAAAAGCTAAAAGCTAAAATTTCATCGCAAAATACACTTGATAGACATTGTTGATTGACAAATATTCCTGCATTGTCACGCTAGGCTCTGCGCCTTTTCCTACCCGTCTTACTCCGCATTTTCAAAAATAGTTCCATAAAATGCATTCTGCTAACATCAAGAATGTCTCAGCCGGCAGGAAGTGCTAACAAAATCAGTTGTTTATCTCCCTAAATATTTTTTTGGGAGTTTTTATCACATTTACGAAATCACAACAAAATACTTTTGTATTCAATGTTTTCGCCGTGTTTTTATTTTGGAAGATATATAGTCCATTCCTTGTTTCTAGAGCAAAATATATATAATACGTAGACGTGATAGAGACAGCCATTATTCTCGTAATTAGGTACTTCTTATGTTTCTCGTCAAATCTAAGTAATTTAACTTATCGACCTAGATACGGGCTATATTCCTTAGCAAAAACACCTAAAGCACTTACTGATAGCTAGATTAATAAATTTAACAGCATTATAATTTTTTTTTGTCAAATGATGAGTTGTTTTTACCTTAATTTTTTCCTATTAGCATTGTTTTTTAAGTTTGATTCAAACCCGACTGTATAAGTTCGACTTTGTAGAATGGGGAATTATTATTAAATCAGCTAGGGCGATATAAATCTCCAGTAATTATTGAAGGATTATTGAATCCAAAAAGATCATTACATTCATGTAGAGGTAATAACGTTTCAGCAAGAAATTTTAGTACGGAATTGTGTCTCCACGTGAAATAAATTTTATAACGGCACTGCTGTGGCGTAGCATGTTGCATATAATTTTTTTTATTATCATATGATTATTGTTATCGTAGCTGCATGATCATTCCACGCCTTTTATTATTAACCATGGCTTGCCTTCTATGTATTAACCATCACGATCTGCGGTATAAGGAAGGCTGATTAATTATTATTCATCGTTATACTTTTTTAACATTGCAATATAGCACCTTCAGCGGGTCCAAATATATCAAATATTACTGAAGTTACGAACAGCTCGATGATTGTGCACTGGAAGGAGTTAAGTGCCAAGGATGCAAATGGACCAATTACTGGCTATGAAGTTTGTTATGAAGTTTCAGATTCAGATTCACCAAACGTTATTGACTGTAAATTAAATAACAAACCAGTCAATGGTAGTAATAACACAATGGCTAAGTTGGATGGACTAATCGGAGGAACCACCTATTATGTCGCTGTTAGAGCTTCAACATCAGCGGGTTTTGGACCTCTTGGCAAAAACACGACGGAAAAAACACTTGTTGGCAGTAAGCATTCTGTTAAGATAATGATAGAAATATATCTATAATATAATGATTTAGGTTTCGCAAATCGTTAGCTTCGTGGAGGCAAATTATATATACATGCACAAATATGAATGCACACAATTCTAAAAAGCGGAATGTAAGGCGTTCATTTTACTACAGAAAATTTACAAAAAATGTTAAATAGTGATTCTATGCATGAACAGCTTTATACCGTTTCTGGTCACTTTCTGAATTGTTTCGATTATTTGAGCAGTTGAAAACTACTTGCTATAAAATTAGGAGACGCGAATATATACTGACTTTAATGAGTATAATCCGAGCTTCATAGAATGGATTTTAATATTGTATTTTATAAACGTGAAATCTAGTTCTATAGAAACCCCTTTAAAATTATATAATTATTGCTCTCCTTATTATTTAGCGAGTAACTTTCAAATATCCGCTTAATCTTTTTGGCCGCATGTTTAAAGTTGCTAAAGATTGAACTATATTATAAAGAAATTGCTTACATATTTAAAATGACCAAATCTACAATTTTCGAGTAATTTAATTAAACGACTGCCGACTTTTTTTGTGCACTCTGTAGAGCCCGTGCCGTGCATTTTTTTAATTTGAAACGATATTTATTATCGTAAGCTGCTTGATCATTCCCGGCTTGCCTTCTATGTATTAACCATCACGATCTGCGGTATAAGGAAGGCTGATTAATTATTAATTTTCGTTATACTTTTTTGCAATATAGAACCTTCAGCGGGTCCAATTATATCAAATATTACTGGAGTTACGAACAGGTCGATGATGGTGCACTGGAAGGAGTTAAGTGCCAAGAATGCAAATGGACCAATTACTGGCTATGAAGTTTGTTATGAAGTTTCAGGTTCATCACCAAACGTTATTGACTGTAAATTAAATAACAAAGCAGTCAATGGTAGTAATAACACAATGGCTAAGTTGAATGGACTAATCGGAGGAACCACCTATTATGTCGCTGTTAGAGCTTCAACATTAGCGGGTTTTGGACCTCTTGGCAAAAACACGACGGAAAAAACACTTGTTGGCAGTAAGCATTCTGTTAAAATAATGATAGAAATATATCTATAATACAGTATAATGATTCAAGTTTCGCAAATCGTCGTGTAGGCAAATTATTTACATGCACAAATATAAATGGACGCAATTCGAAAAAGTGGAATGTAAGAACGGCGTTCATTTTAGGTATATAAAATTTACAAAAAAATGTTAAATAGTGATTCCATGCATGAACAGCTTTATACCGTTTCCGGTCAGTTTCTGAATTGTTTCGATTATTAAGCAGTTGAAAACTACTTGCTATACAATTAGGAGACGCAAATATATAACTTTAATGAGGTTTCTATGAGTATAATCCGAGCTTCGTATAGAATGGATTTTAATACTGTAGTCTATAAACGTGAAATCTAGTTCTATAGAAACCTCGTTGAAATTATATAATTATTGCTCTCCTTATTAATGAGCGAGTGACTTTCAAATGTCCGCTTAATATTCTTGTCCGCAGGTTGCTAAAGATTTAACTATATTATAAAGAAATTACTTTTATATTTGAAATGACCAAATTTACAATTTTCGAGTCATTTAATTAAGCGTTTGCCGACTTTTTTTTGTGCACTCTGTAGAGCCCGCGCCATGCATTTTTTTTTAATTGAAACGATATTTACTGTCGTAAGTTGCTTGATCATGCCTCGCCTTTTATTTATTAACCATGCATGGCTTGCCTTCAATGTATTAACCATCACGGTCTGTGGTATAAGCGAGGCTGATTAATTATTAATTATCGTTATACGTTTTTTTTAACATTGCAATATAGAACCTTCAGCGGGTCCAATTATATCAAATATTACTGGAGTTACGTACAGATCGATGATGGTGCACTGGAAGGAGTTAAGTGCCAAGGATGCAAATGGACCAATTACTGGCTATGAAGTTTGTTATCAAGTTTTAGATTCATCACCAAAGGTTATTGACTGTAAATTAAATAAAAAAACAGTCAGTGGTGGTAATAACACAATGGCTAAGTTGGATGGACTAATCGGAGGAACCACCTATAATGTCGCTGTTAGAGCTTCAACATCAGAAGGTTTTGGACCTCTTGGCAAAAAAACGACGGAAAAAACACTTGTTGGCAGTAAGCATTCTGTTAAAATAATGATAAATGTACTGTTTGCGGTCAGTTTCATTAATTGTTTCGTTTATTTATGCAGTTGAAAACTACTTGCTATAAAATTTTGAGAAGCGAATAAGAAACCTCGTTAAAATTATATAATTTTTGCTCTCCTTATTAGCTATAATTAGCGAGTAACCCTCAAATGTCCGCTTAATATTTTTGTCCGCAGGTCCGAGTTCTGAAAAGTAAGTTGTCGTTTGTAACTTTTCTTATAAACTTTAAAGTTGCTAGAGATTTAACTATATTATAAAGAAATTACTTATACTTATAAAAGACCAAATCTACAATTTTCGGGTCATTTGAACGACTACCCACTTTTTTGGTGCACGCTGTTGAGCCCGAATCGTTCAATGTTTTAATTTGAAGCGATTTTTATTATCGTAACTGCTTGATCATTCCTGGCCTTTTGTTTATTAACCATGGCTTGCCTTCTATGTATTAACCATCACGATCTGCGGTATAAGGAAGGCTGATTAATTATTAATTTTCGTTATACTTTTTTAACATTGCAATATAGCACCTTCAGCGGGTCCAAATATATCAAATATTAATGGAGTTACGAACAGCTCGATGATAGTGCACTGGAACGAGTTGAGTGCTAAGGACGCAAATGGAACAATTACTGGCTATGAAGTTTGTTATGAAGTTTCAGATTCATCACCAAAAGTTATTGACTGTAAATTAAATAACAAAACAGTCAGTGGTGGTAATAACAGAATGGCTAAGTTGGATGGACTAATCGGAGGAACCATTTATAATGTCGCTGTTAGAGCTTCAACATCAGAAGGTTTTGGACCTCTTGGCGAAAACATGACGGAAAAAACACTTGTTGGCAGTAAGCATTCTGTTAAAATAATAATAGAAATATATCTATAATATAATATTTAATAATTACTTAATGGTTTCCGTGTTTGGATGGCCTGATCCAAACACGCGGGAATGTTGCGAGAGTTAAGAAAAGCGCGCGAGATTTCCGTGTTTGGATGGCCTGATCCAAACACGGGTTTCAACCAATCAGAACACGCGTTATATACATGTTATTTTATAAAATGATTTACGTATCGCAAATCGTTAGCTTCGTGGAAGCAAATTATTTATATGCACGAATATGAATGCACAAATATTGCATTTTCGTCATCGTTTATTAACTCATCGTCAACTTATCTTTGAGTCGGAAACGTACCCTTTCTAGTACTCTAGTGCGTGATAAGAACAAATTCGCTGACGAGTGAAAAGTGCCCACGTTACAGTTGACCTATTGGGCTAATTGCAAAATTTTAAATATTACATTTTGCGCGCTCGTTTTCTCGATCTGATAATGCCAGGATGAGAATCGCATATAGGAACACCTTGTTGATGTCTGTATTTTTCCACCTGTCGTGGAAATTGCTTCATTAAAATTACTTTAGATTGTTTATACCTGATATTTAGTCATTTGTATATATTTCAAGAGTAGATACTCCTAGCTTGTAGCTGCATCTTTGAAAAATCGGTTATAAAAGTCCTTTTTACACTACACTCAATTTATTAAATTGGCACAGCACGACTAAAAGCGGTACCCGTACCAATTGTATTAGTGTTCAATGGCTACTAATACAAAGGTCGCGCATAAGTGAAATTGGTATACAAGTAACCATTTTAGCCCAGCCGTGCCGATAAGTTGAGGGTAAATGGAGCTAAATTCCATGCTTTCTGAAAGGCGCAGTTACGGCGAGTAACTACCGTCCAAATTCTAAACGGTGAAATAATGAGTCTCATAAGTTATTTTTTATTTAATACGATATTTTATTGCATTGGAATTTAGCACCTACAGCGGGTCCAGCTATAATAAACATTACTGAAGTTACAGAAACCTCGATGAAAGTGCACTGGAACAAGTTAAGCCCCGAAGTTACAAATGGAAAAATTGAAAGCTACGAAGTTTGTTATAAAGCTTCGAAATTTTCATCCGATATTGATTGCGACAAAAAGAGATTGTTCAAAGGTAGTGATAACAGAACAAATGTATTGGATGGACTATATAAAGGGACCACGTATAATGTCGCTGTTAAAGCTTCGACATCAGCGGGATTCGGGCCTTTAGGAAACATCACGACGAATAAGACACTTGATGCCAGTAAGTATTGTATTAATTACACTGGACAGTTTAAAATTGATTTTTAAATTTTACTATCTTAGTATTTTATTACACTATAAATTCGAAATATCAATTAGTAGGATTGGACTTTTGCACTTCCTTCGGAAAAATGCGATAGACGAATTTGGTATTCAGGGTGAACTAGGATCGGTCATATGTCAAATGAGATATAATTTAAATGGTAGTGCAGTATAGTTGGAAACGTCAACCGTAAGCCGTAAGGTAAAATCTAAACGACAACCCGCGGAATAAGGTATATACGCGACTTTAAAATACAATCTTCGTGCATTGGCCTGAATCTACTCACGCGATTGGTCAAAATCAATCACGTGGTTTCTTGTTGCCTAGCGAATCATGATTTTGCAATAACCCATGAAAATAATTCGCCATTTTTTTTGCTTTTCAACGATTTTTATTTTAAATAATATTTATACTTTCAAAAGTTCACAAGGTTTAATTGGCTGACTACGGTAGGATCTGACGTTTCCGACCCGGCCGATTATGCACCAGTGGCGAAACAGGATGGCACGTAGTGAAAAACTCGACACAACTAATCAAGCTGAATTTATAACCTCGTGTCTTTTGACCCGAGGTAATGAAGTTTGTACTTCATCCCAAGGGTCGGATCGACGGAAATGTATTTATTTTTTTACAAAAAGCGGCGTTCGGTCGTATTATCATTGTGTAGTCAGACTCAGCAATGGCGACAAAAACATAAACAATTAAAACCTAATTTGTTTTATTTATTTAAATTCACTTCGATTTATCGTGATAATCATTTGGTCCGTATATTTTCAAATAAAAAAGCGAAACGTTTGCGAATAAATCTTTAGAAAAACAAAAAACAAAATTAATACGCTTAATGCGAGCATAAAATATAGGATTCCGGTCCGTGGTCAGATATCGTAAAATTACGCCCGCTGCTACAGCCAATCAGATTGCAGGAAAGGCTAAGATTCCGCCCGCTGTTAATTCGTAAAAAAATGAATACAAAATTCTATACGATTTTTCCAATTTTTTTTATTTAGAACCTTCAGCGGGCCCAAATATTTTAAAAAATACTAAAGTCACGAACAAAACAATGACAGTCTCCTGGGACAAGTTAGGCATAGAAGATGCAAATGGGGAAATTACGGCTTACGCAGTTTGTTACAAAGCTTCGGAAAATTCATCGGACATTGATTGCAAAGAGAACCGTACGGTAAATAATAGTACTACAAGAACGGTTGTGTTGCAGGGACTTAATGAAGGAACCAACTATAATGTCGCTGTAAAAGCTTCAACGTCAAAAGGATTTGGACCTCTTGGAAATATTGTGACTAAAAAAACATTGGACGCTGGTAAGCGATTTTTCATAGAACTTCGTATAATTTATATCAACTTAAACGTGACTGATAAAAATCGTATGGTACATTTACCATGGTACAATAATTATATAACAGCAAACAATTACATGATATGCGATTTATTAATGCCTAACAGGTATTACTGTTTGATTTATTTCAGTCCTGCACGAAAGCGAATAGGGTTAGGGACTGGGAACAAAGTAAATACGTTTGTTGGTCGTACATTTAAAATATGTATTTTGTAAAGAGTTTGGATAATAAAAGATTTTGTTATGCTGGGCTGATTTCTATTGAAAGTAAAATTGCTTTCAAAAGAAATTGTGGCCAGGCATAGCGGAATATGTGAATATGGTCCCCCTCAATTAACGTTCGATTGTCGCCGATGGATTTTTGTTAACTTCAGTAAATAATAGGAGGCATGTTCTAATATAATATGACATAATAAAGAGCTATTTTTGCATTTCACTTTAGTACCTTCAGCCGGACCAAAGATTTCAGGAGTTGCTAATGTGACAGCCACTAAAATAATAGTAAATTGGACAATGTTAAAACCAGAAGATGCAAATGGAGTAGTTACTAAATACCAAGTTTGTTATTCACAAGACACAAGGATTTTTGATTGCACTTTCAATAAATCGGTTGATGGCAATATCACGACGGTAATGTTGGATGAACTTAATGAGGCAACACATTATTATATAGCTGTTAAAGCGGCAACGTCAGCTGGGTTTGGACGTCTTGGGACCATGATAACCATAAAGACTCGTGAAGCTGGTAAGTGTTTTAACAGTTTAGTCTAATCTAACATGATACCAGACATCAATTATTTATGCCAAGTTGAATAAAACTTATGCGTGAAAGGCTAAGATGGCAAAATGTCAAATTGAGGATGCGCGAGGGACTTACATTAAAGGCCCTGTAACATCGTGCAATTCTGGGTGCATTTCTACTTTTGAGAGATGTAGATTTTCCACTACGAAACCTTTTTGTTTGTTTAAAACCTCATGGAGGTTCGAGGTTTCTTAAACTAACATTTCGTGGACTTCTCACTAATTTACATTTTTCAAAAGAGTTACATGGCAAGTTGAAAAAAAAAAGCGCCTTGGAACAGGGCCTCAAGTTGTCCGCATGTGACTTTGGCGGCTGGTAAAACATGAAACATTCCGTAAACATGTTCTCTGCAAGTGACTAAAATGCGTGTATGAAACCTGCATTTTTTGCGTGGAACACGTTTCAGATGGTGTACGTAGTAGGATGGGATAGTTTTACAAATAGATATGATATAAACCGGTGTCGAACAAATACTAACCACACTATTAGACAACAAGAAGGGAAATCCTAATGGTTTGCAGTCTGTGTGCAAGAAAATTATTGATTTGAGCGTTAAATAGGTTCTTTTTCTCCGATGTGATGAAAGCGATGTGAAAAAGTTACAAACAATATCAACGTATCCTAGAAGTTAAATAACAATGACTGTCACCACAGCTGTCACTCGTACTTTCGACTAGTGTGCGCCTCCCGCCTCCCCCCCTCCCCCTCACGGCGGCTCTGTAGCCAGGTTAGCTGGGACATCTCGGCTTGCTGAGGTGAGTTTGAAGGTAATTTTCTATGCAATTCATCCCGCCTATCATGTCATGCACTTATTATCCCACTTATTACCCCACTTATTTGGCGATCTCTTTCTTAATTCTTCGTGACTGTGCAGGTCTGTCTCCGTCTAAATTAATCGCTTGATATTCCATTCGTGTTTTGTAAGCCGTTAAACAAGTCATCAACCATTTACGAACCATTTCAGAACTCCAACGAAATGCTTTTTTAATTTGACCTCGCTATTTTCCGCCATTTTGATTAAAAACATGTGGTTGGCAGTGTGCCCAAGTAACGCGCGAGAATTTACGTTCATATGGAAAATTTTTATCCCACTTGACTGAGATCCCACTTTGCTTACACCTGGTCCCACCTAACTGACCTTGCTCACATACCATATGAATTAACACAAACTTGAATACATATAAATACTGTACGAGGTGGGATCTCGGTACAATATCATCATCCCGGCTAACCGGGTTATCCCACTCCATATGAACAGGTCTTTTTGACTGTTGTAGATCGCGTATTGGTTATCCCCGTGATATATATTGTCACTGTATATTTACCTATATATTTAGCAATATATAGCAGCGCATGATTTCGAATTTGAGTTTTTTTTTAAACAATGATTTTTCTTTATCTTTTGCTCAAAGATGGTAATAATATAAGCTTGACTGAAGCGTGTTGTCTAATATCGTTTTTTACTTTACCTCAAGTTCCTGCGATAGGTCCTGCTGTCAAGAGTATTTCGAATATAGATTCAACATCTATCAATATTATGTGGCAAACATTGACCGAAAACCAGGCAAATGGTATCATTAGGAAGTATGCCATTTGCTACAAAGTTCAAAGTTCTTCTGATCATATCTGTTCTTGGAATAAGACAGTTGGCAGTGTTCTCAGTACAAACGTGACAGGTTTAACCGCATACACTTCGTATGAATTAGCCATCAGAGCTGCTACGAATGTTGGATTCGGGGAAATTGGAAACACGACCATTCATAAAACAGAACAAGATAGTAAGTAGCTATGATTACTAAGCAATCTATTCTTTTTAGTAATCTATGTAATAGTAACTTTTCTTCGGTCTTTAGTTACGGTGATATATTGCATGACCGAGATCCGATTTACTCCGGTATTTCACGGTAAAGACCAAACAAGGGAAGTTTATAAAAGCGGTTACGATAAGGAAGATATTTGCACAACAAATGATGGCATCCTTTTTACCTAAAACCATTCGCAGACCTCTTATTCTTTTTGGGGGACAACGTTTATATGCGTTTATACGATCTATGTATGCTGAAATTTTAAGAATTTCTCTGTTTTTTATCGCGTAATGATATGGGTATTTATAAATGAAATAATCAATTTCAATTGCAATTTCATAATACTATGTTGTAGTACTATACTGGTAAACATTACGCCCTCACGAACCAGCCTTTACCTAAATAACGAAAACACAAATTAAACAGTTTGATTTAAACCCATGGCTGACTTCTCGCGCCTGAATGTAAAAAGTTTGCAGGTGCATGTATTCTTAAAGGCCCGTTTACACTTGCTGCAATTTTATGTGCGATTTTCTTCTTTTGACGTATGTGAACGAGTAATTAGTTAAGAACGCTCTAATGTATACGAGCCAGTGAACTCTAATAAACAACTGGAACGATACCTCGTCGTTTTTGTGAAGCACGCGTGTCTGGAGGTAAAGTCCTGCAAGTCTGGTGGAATAACCCCAGGGCAAAATTAGTACCCTTGCCCATAGATGGGAAAATCATCTATCTTAGTTATTTGTTTGTTTCTATCTTAGTTTTGAGCCCTGCGTGCTCTATATATAGATATCATAATTACAGGCCTTGAAAATCGACATGACCAGTTTAACATGTCCGATATAAAATGTTTTAACGCGCCAAAATTGTTTTTGGATGATTGGTTGATTTGATTTTCTTTTGTAGAACCTGGCAAGCCGACCAAATTATCAGCAAACGCCAGCTTTTCGGAAATAACATGTGGATGGTCCAAACCAAATATCAACACTGGACCACTAACAAAATACAGAGTGCGCTGGAAGTTGAAAGATACTATCCTGGGTGACGGCAATATCTCAAACAGCACTTTACAGTTTTTAATTAAACCCCTTAAACCTGGAACTAAGTATACTATATTAGTTTCGGCCTTTACGATGAAGGGCGAAGGTCTTGCAGACTCAGTAGAAGAAGAGACATTGAAAAGTGGTAAGTGAGGAGACCTACTTATTCCGCCATCTTTTTCGAACGAGTGTTTTAAACCCGAAATTGTGGGGAATATTCCGTGAACAAATTATCAAAATTAGGAGTTTTCATCCGACCCCGTTCCCACGTGGTCGAATATAACTGTAACCGGTAATAATTTAGTTGGTAGTATTCTTTCCAACATATCTAGCATTATATTTTTATGTGCGTACTCGGTAACAGCTAGAAGACGTTAAAAGAAATGGCCCTAAACAACTAAAAAGTTGGTTGGATACTTCGATACACTTCGAGTGCGTGGAAACGGGGGGTCTTGCTCGCGATTCGGAGTGCCCGAAATTTGAAGTCTCTAGATCGTAGCAAAGGTCTTTCTCGAGAAAGTATAGGCCTATTAGTCCCGTAGAGAGCTTTTTAAAATTATATACTCTTAACATAGCAATACTAGCCAGCTCGACGATTTACTTCCGTTGTGATATTTTTTGTATGGCTGAAACACTCAAATTTTAAAGAACCGTTAATTATAACAATTTTGCATAGCGGGACTAAATTGTCAGGCTGGGCTGGCTACGCAACTGATTTCAAAAACCCTATTATTGCTTTAGAGGTCAATGGTATTAACCTTGGTGGAACGCAGAGCGGCACCGTTAAGGATGCAAAGACACAGATAGGATTCATGTTGCCGACGCTGGCTACTACAGAAATAAATGAAATAAAGTAAGTTTCTTTTAACTCTCTTTGGAAATGATCCCACCTTCAGTATAATAATTGTCTGTTTTTAAGAAATGAACATTTGACGTGTATTAATGAAAGGCAATACACGCTGTCTAAAAATATACGCTATCTTCTAGGTTTGTCCAGGTGATTGTGAAACGCTGGCTGCCAACTGATAAAGGAAGTAATGACGGGAAAAAAAATCTTCTTGAAATATCCCAAAGCAAGTTAACACCTTACGGCAATTCAAGTGACGGCGAAAGGCCATACATAGCTCTTGAATATCCCAAATACGAAAACAAACGTCAGGTCATTGTTGGGGATGATACCTCAAGCCGAAGGAAACGGAGAAGTGACGTTACATATCGTAATGCTCCTCTTAAGGACGGCACAGAATATGCAATTTTCGTGCGGGTTTTCTACGACGATGAACACGTAAGTTAAAATCTGTGCTGGTTTTGCATCAACATGCATGCAGACTCTAATACTTTTATAGGCCACCTTTTTCAACTTTTGACAGTTTCGTATAAAAGTAATCATATTGTCCAAAGTGGTCAAAAGGAGACTTTAGACCAAGATTTGCTATAGAACAAGATTTTACACACACATGCAGTAATCCAGTTTTTCAAACCCGAAGTATAATTCTAACCTAAAAGAAACTGAATATGTTTTTAAACATGTGGGATTTGCTGCATTTTACCAGAAGTAAAGTGTAACAGTATTCATGATTATATAATACGTAATTATTCTGAATTATTGTAATTATTTTTGCCTTAAATATATTTGTTACTTTTTATAAAATTTGACCAATTTCCGTTAACTATATTTCGGTTAAAACCATATGATTATTGAAACATTTTGAAATGTAAACTGAAACATGCATGAGGAATTCAAATTATAGTGTTGCAAACAATTCATTTTATCCATAACATATCTTTATGTAATATGAGAGAACTATAATGGTATACGTAAAAATACGCGTATTGATAATGGAATTTATATAACACATATCTCTTTATAAATATTTCAATGTCCTTAAATGTTGTAGAAATATCATACTTTTACCTCGAACAGTATGCTTACAATTTAAATTTTCTAGAAATTTTTCCAAAACTCCGAATTATTGTTGAAAGAAACAATCGCAAAAGAAACGACAAGCGAAGGTCCTGATGCTGCTGTTATCGCCGTGGTGGTTGTGGTGGTCATTGTTGCCTTACTTGTCGTAGTTTTTGGTTTTTTGCTCTTAAGAAGGTATTTTATATACGTCTTTGGAGCTCCATTTTTCCCATTACGTATAGTATGACTAAATTAGGTCTTATTACGTGGTAATTAAGCAATTATTTGCCGCGAAGTTAGTCTGTTGTTAGTTGTTAGTTTTTTAATTATCTTGACTGAAATGAGTGAGCTAACCGTCATTTTGGATAAAATATTTTATCTCATATCAGTAAAACTACGCTAAAATAACGAATATAGATAATTTCAAACGCACACAATGTCTATAATTATATAATAATTGTCTAGATAAAAAGCTCACGTGACCTTGCATGCATGCATGTGAAGCATTGAACTCAAAAGAACTGGAAGGCTACCTCCTGATTAAAATAGCCAAAATTATTGAAGCCAAATTTTACCTCCAGACACGCCTGTTTTACCTCCAGACACGCGTGTACATGTTGCGAGACATTCTCGCGAGGGCCTTTTCAGGAGTGGACATAAGGAAAACATGAACTGTTTAGCGGCGAAGTTACATTCGTTCGGATTTATCGTTTATTTTAACGATTTAGGCTATAATTTTGTAATCAATGCTGATTAAAGCATACCTCGAACCGCGGCGTGGTGAAATTATAAGGAAAATGTAAACAGTTTATTCGAAAACGATCACTACTTCAAAAAGGTTTGCAGGCAACAAAACAAAAAATATATATGTGCTCATAAAACATATAAAAAAGAAAATTTAGCTGTAGTTTGTTGTTAAATAAATATTGTTAGAATGTTTTTTCGTAAGTTTCAGAGGGATTAAATTGATAAACAATGAAATTAAATAAGTGAATTCACACAAACACTTTTGAATTGTCCCGGCTTCACTCCTCGTTCAACGTTTTTCATAAGAAAGGGCAATTTAATTGCGAGTTTGATACAGATAAATTTAGTATACTTTACTCTGTATAGTTTTCACGGATGCTTTTATCGTAAAAATACTGTGCAAAACGCACTTTATGTTCTTTAAAAGATGTTTTTAGTGCTTGCATGTTGAAGAATGTTGAAGTATTATTTTTGAAGTTTCAAAAAACCGCGTGTTTAGTTGCGTGAAAAGACTGGGCATGACTCCAAAATTTGGCTTCAAATCTCCGGCCGGAGGTAGCCTTCCAGTTCTTTTGAGTTCAATGATGTGAAGTGTCCTGCAATCCATTATGGCGGCCATCTCATGCACTAATTTCGGCACAATAGGATAAGAACAAAGAAAGATTGATAAATAGTTTGTACTGTTAAGTAAATGAAAGAAACTGATATTTCATTGCAAATACGGTTAGAATTACTCATATCTTTTTCCGTCATTTTGACAAAACGACTCGATGCAATTTTGAAAAAAAATACGCCTAGACAATTATCGCGGATTATTAATCCGAGGTCGTTTGACCAGTCAGTGCCCAGAATTTTCAACAATTACCTTTTTCGACACTTCCAGCCGCGATTTGCTTGAGAAGAAAATCCACCTTTTTTATATTCTTTCACGTCGAAACGATATAGACCCGCATGTTGACCAATGAATTGCGTCCTAGCGGATGCCTTCAAATCGACAATAACACCAATGCCATTGACTGATATGTGGAACATGCATCACCCGGGCCCAAGGCTATATTCAAACTCATCTTGTTCTGCTATTTTAAATTCCTATGTTATTCTTCCTAGACGCAAAGCTCGATCCGACTATAACGGCATACATCTTGAACCTACCGCTAAACGTAAGTAGCTTTTATCATTTAAGGTCTGCCATAATGCCATCAGAATCTGTGTTCCCCTGTTTGCCATATAATTTTTGTATTTAGTTATGCTTATAGAAAACCCTGAAAAAGAATTTGTATATTCAGTATCGCAATCGTCAATTGCGAACTGGTACAGTCACAATTCTGTAATCATAATGTTATCTTCTTGCTTTCATTTCATATTCAATCAATCAATCAATCAATAAATAGGCTAATCAATGAGTCAAAGACTCAATTTCGTTATTTTGACGTGTTCAAGGTGATTTGGCGTTAATATTTTAGCCAATCAGCGCTCAGAAAGTTTGTCGAAATAGAATCCATTCGGTATTTAAGCAATTATATATCTTGTTATTTATGAACCATTCGAAAATTAGAGATTATATTTAGTTATAAGAAATGCACTTCTAACTACTTGCATATAACAAAAAGACTTCCCCAACGATGGGTGCGCATACGTCTAGAAGACATCTACAAAGTGTAAACCTCTTTGATTCTGTATATCAAACCAAATTAGTGTTAAACATTCTGACTGTTCTTGGTATTGTAAAGAAAATGGTAATTCAAATTGGAAACATAGTGTTTGTTTACATTACGACGGACGTGTCTTAACAATATTGAAGTCTTCTTCCAATGTAAAATAACCTATTCTGATAGCGTTGTTTATTTATGTAGCTTTTGTACGTTACGCCATCCCGATTGCCGATTTCCGTGAACACTGTGACCGCCTGGGAATGAATACTGGCCTAGGATATCAAGAGGAGTATGAGGTATGTAATGAAAACTGACAAATCAAGTAAAGGGTCATAAGACTGCTATATTGATACGTGTTTTATGTATTAATTATTAATTAAATCTGAGTTAGAAGAAGTAAATAGCGAGAATAAGGCCTTTTTTAGAGGGAAAATACACTTTCCTAAATTTTCAATACATTATGTAAGACGGTAGATAATGTGACTTTTTATACTGGATGTAGTCAATATTTATACATTCTGATTGGGCTGCTAAAAATGTAAACACAATTCCCCTGACAAAATTTCTCCGTGTTAGAAAAGTTGAAATATGAGACATTTGAATCGATTTTTTCGAAATATCCGGAGGAAATCCTCAAAGCACTGAAAGAACTTACATTATTAGTGAGGCACATTGTGGTTCGAAAATCTCATTTTTGAATACTGCCTTTGATTTGATTTATAACACGTTTCATTCGAGATTAAGAGGTTGTGATGATGATGATGATGATGATGATGATGATGATGATGATGATGATGATGATGATGATGGTGATGGTAGATTGTGCGGAGACCGGATTAATTTGTTATCTTAGTCATGATCGTATTCTTTTTGTATCTTTTTCCAGAATGTTCGACCTAAAGGACCAGTTTCAACCGAAATTGCAAAGCGCGACGAAAATCTAGATAAAAATCGTTATAACAACATCCACGCATGTAAGTATAAAGAATATCTACTGTACTTATATGTGGAAATATTTTATGGTAGACGGGATAATTTCAGATACCATGCAATTACACTGTCCAAGCTAGCACAGCTCAAATTTTTTAGCAGACTTAGCTATAATGATGGAGTATAGGTATATATATATATACAGGGTGTATAAAAATATTAGACAATTGTTGAAATGTCTATAAACTGAAAATTTTGCAAAATGTCTGAAGAACTTGTGTTGATATAAGTATTTTAGGGTCTCTTGGCCACTTTAACGCTGGAATTGAATGAAAAATTTTGCCGACGATTATTTTCAAACACCATGCACCTAAAACAAGTATTGCGCACAAAAATGGACGGCTTCAGTATTAAATCGTTATCATTGGCTGAAAATTTGGTTAATGTTTTATAAACCATCGAAATTATGTTCCAGAAATTTTGGAGTACATTAAATCCGCCGCGCGGCCTCTCGCGAACTTTGATCGACTTTGATTAACTTTGATTTAAATGATATAGATACTGTATGCTTAGTGTATGCATGACTAAATATCTTGTTCGTTTCGAATTTTCTCTTAGATGATGATTCCCGTGTAATTCTGTCACAGATCGATGGTGAAGAAGGTTCAGATTATATAAATGCAAATCACATCGATGTACGTATATACTGCATGCATGCATGTGGAAATTAATGGCGGCAAAGGGGCTTGATAGCGAGTGTTGTTTTTTTTTCTATTATTTTGGATTATGTTAGCCCTGAGGCATTGCTGGTGATAAAGATAGCAGATACACATATGAATCTTATATATTTCATTGGTTCCTTCAGAACTCGTGCTCCTTCAAATCAATTTAATGCAATTATAGAGTTTTATATAGTGTTTTTTTGTGCACAACCTTTGTGCTTTAACTCCACTGTCTTAAAGTGTGCAACAATTTCACTAAATTACAAACGTTGATCTAAGAAAGGCAAGGCAAAGCCAAGGCGATTGCTCTTGTATTTAGCAAAGCAGTAAATTCAGCTTCGCGCTGTATGTTTAACGTTTGCCCTATAAAATTTCATGCTTGAACGGCTGTGGGTGTATGCAGTCGTTCAAACATCAAGTTTTACACCGTGAACGTGAAACACATACGGCAAAGCTAAATTTGCTGCTTTTCTAAATACATCAGCAACGGGCTTTACGGTTTTCAACCAAAATCCCAACTGATTGGTTAATTCTTCATCCTTTAGCAGATAATAATTCATATTTTATTTGAACCATTAGCAAAATAGCTGGTGAATCAGTACTTCGTTGGCGTTAGAAAGCACAGACGCCCTGGCTTAACAAATTGTCCCAACAAACACATGTCCAAAATTATATGCCGCTATGCAAACTAGGAAAGAACTTTTTAAAAAAATATATTTGATTTAGGGTTTCGAGCGCAAGAACCAGTTCATTGCAGCACAAGGTACGTGGGATTAGCAGAGCTTTAACATAGGCATGCAGAACATTCCTATTGGCATTTCTCAATGGATGTTCATAATTTATATACACCTATGTGCATCTATATCAATGAGAAACAATAAAGTATGCGTCTTTTATCTTAGGCACCTTGAAGAATACGATCGTAGATTTCTGGAGGATGATTTGGGAGCAGAAGGTTTCCTCTATTGTGATGTTAGCAAATCCGATAGAGAAGGGCAGGGTAAGTTCTATTCCTGATCACGATACATACATCGAAACGTTTTAAAAGGCATGCATCTGTTGGCGTTCCCAAGAATAAAAGCGTGCAGTAAGGAAAAACGCCAAATGAATGAAAACATATCTCACTTATATACGTACCTTCTCAAGTTACCAATTTTTATTACGATGGGATACAACTAAATAATTGTAAAAAATTGTTTTTATTGTTGGATGTTGGGATTATCGACAGCTAGCTAGCTTTATCAGTCAGCCGCGAGCGAAGACAACCGTGCATTGCCCGATCAATAGTGAATCTTTGTAAAACTTTAGCACGAAATCCGTTATGATAAATATATTCTACTTCGCAAGTAGAGCTCTAAAGCAGAACAAAAATTTGATGAAAAAGTCATAGAATTTCCCATTTTCGAGATCTACTTTGCACAAATTAGTACAGCATCGGTATGATATTAGTATTTTATCTTTGTTTGGGTAATTTAGGGAGAACGACGTAAACAAAAGCATTTTTATGGAATGGTTTTTGGGACGCAAATTGCAACATGCATGGAAATGCTCACCTTGCGTGCTGATACCATTTCGCAACCAGTAGCGTAGCCAGCCTGATGATTTTGTCCCGCTATGTAAATTTCGAGTTATTGTAATTATTCATGTCTTTAGAAATCTATTGTTTTCACAGTCAGTGAACGCTAAAATATTAGCATAGCGGGACAAATCGACGGGCTGGCTACGCAACTGTTCGCATCTGAAAACTAGGAGGTTCTCCTGAAGCTAAAACCCAGTGCATTTATTTCTTTAGTCGATAATTTTTATCTCCATGAGAACGCCTCCCTGTAACTGGATATAGTTAGCATGTTTATCATGTATAAGTTAATTGCGTTTCATATATATTTGAGCATATATAAATGAGGTACTTCTGAAAGTGTTCGTCGGTATTATTTAAAGAATATCACTGAATCTTTTTCTTCATCTTTCAGGAAAAACTTGCTGTTTACTGGCCGCAAGACCGTGCAGTGAAACATGGCCCATTTATGATTAAGCTCGATGGGGAAGTAGAACTGGCTGATTACGTCATTCGTAAAATGACAGTCACAATGGTTTGTATTTCACACAGAGATATGATGCACTAGAACATGTACTAGAACTTGATATGGTTTTGGTTTTGCAGGATGACGTTAAAGAGACGCGACAACTGACTCAATTCCACTATACTGTATGGCCTGATCACGGTGTACCTCAGTACACAACGTCTTTGCAAGCATTTTTAACCAGAATACGAAAATTTGTAAAAGCCGACAGCAATCCCTTCGTTGTACATTGCAGGTAAGTTTAAGCAGGTCAAATTTGGTCTTAGATTTTTGAAATCTTATTTACTTATGGTCGCCGGATTAAAAAAAATGCGAATACATGCATGCTTGCTTGGATTTTATGATAAGAGTTTATAGCGAAATATTTTTTTGCTAAACATGTCATGTGCCAAAAAAAGACAGACCTGCTTCAAGTTCAAAAAGATTGTAAAGGCTTAGCTGGGATGAATATTCTACCATCAAAATTATTATATTGATAATATGGAAGGCACGACTGCTTCTAACGATATATGAATTCGATGCAATCTATTGTAATAGTTTGTTGTTTAAAATTTTAATGCCTTCAAATTCCATGATTCCCCTAAATTATATTTGCCAAACGAAATCAAAGTTGAGAAGAGTTGCATGCCGTGAAGATTTCTATATGTGTCATGTAATACGAAATTGTTTCCTCTGTAGTGCCGGAGTGGGTCGCACTGGGACGTTCATTGGAATTTTCGCCATGCTCGATATGATTGAGGCTACCAAGACAGTGGATATTTACAATTTTGTTTGTCAAATGCGCACTCAAAGAACCCACATGGTTCAAGTGGAGGTTAGCCATAGTCTTCTTTCAAAAACATCAATATATACAGGTGTTAGCTGGTTTATTCCAATTTTAAGATTTCATAATATGGGTAGTAAAACCTTACATCACGTTTGATGAACGGCAATGCATACGCGGGTACCTAATACCTCAAGGTAAAATGTGTCATAAGAATTGCCTCGGGAATTGGCGTAAATGTTATATAAAATGGAGTTACTATCCCACTTCTTATTTTTTTTACTTGCGGTCACTTTTCTATATGTATGAAGTGCAACTGAACCAGTGAATAAAATAATCTTATCGATGTTATGTTTGTCCATTTTTAGTCTCAGTACGTCTTTCTTCACAAAGCCGTACTTGAAGCAATTGAGTGTGGCGATACCGAGATTAACGCACCTGATCTTCGTGTCAAAATGATACAATTGAATCGTACAGATCCAGATAATCCGGATGAAACAATGATGGAAAAACAATTTAAGGTAGAATCTTTATCATTTTGAGTTCGAAGGTACAGCAGATTTGTTAAACAAAAAATTCAAGGCTTACCTTACGGCATGTAACGGCAGTTGTAATGTGATAAATATATATGGCCAACAACAGTAATTTATTTCAAAAAATCAGAGGTGATCAATCGCGAAAACGAAATTTTTGAAATCTTACTATTTTCGCCTTTATAGGTGCTTGAAAAATACACCTTTATCAAGTCAAATACAGAAGAAGGCAAGAAGCCTTTCAACGTGGATAAAAACCGCAATAAATCCATAATTCCTTGTAAGTTATGTCAGTTAGATCTTATTTGATGGGGTAATGCTTAAAAAGCCTAGCACATAAATTCGTGACTTCAATTTGCCGAGCTATGGAGTTGGTTTCATTGCGTGTGTATTTATTTCCTTTAGACGAAGACACCCGCGTTTCCCTCCTGAAGAGTCCTGGTGTCGATGGCTCCGATTACATCAATGCCAGTAGCATTGACGTAAGTCAAACATTCACTTTCCATCTTTTACGCACGTTTTTAACACTAGTTGTAATCACTTACATATAAGGTGATATAAAATTGCATTTCCTAAAAACGATTTATTTTCTTATTGCTTGCTCCAAAGAGCTACCAAGTGCGAGGCATGTATATTGCAACCCAGTTCCCATTGGAAAATACCGTCAACGAATTCTGGAGGATGATTTGGGAAAAGAAGTCCAACTGCATAGTAATGTTGGCTAATGTGGATGAAGACCCGGTAGGAACATGTTATCGTCTCTTATGCACACAAGCCCCGTTAGATTTTCCGTCCGATTATCTTTTTTTGGTAGATGCAAACGAGAGGGTAGTTAAAACTTATCCACTCGTTCACATCAATCAAAAGCAGAAGAATCGCGCAAAAAGCCAGCAAAAGTTCCAAGTGTAAATAGGGCCTATAGCAATACTGTTGTTTTACGTGTATGCTGCAGAACGCCATAGTTTAATCAGTTTAGATCTCACTGTTTATTATTTCACTATTTTCAGGGCATTGTAAAATGTGTATAATAAAAAACATTTTATTAGAATTTCCAATGGCTGCGATATAATGGGTCGATCATTCTTCTCGTTGATGTTAATTTCTTTGATACTGCATTTATTTGCAGGATGCTTTTAAGAAATATTGGACAGACAAAAGCAATGACGCAATGCTTTGCGGTAATCTGCTTGTAACTTTGGATAACGAAGAAAAGAGTGACGAGTACATAACCAGAAATTTCAAACTGAAGAAGAACGAAGTATGTTATTGTATATTTACTTATTTTACACCTGATATAATTATTGCGTTCGTTGCACGAGCGCTTCCTAATTGCGACGTCTTGCACGCTTGGATGCTATGTCGGTTTGAGATTTCTTAACATACTCTATATCATGTATAGTTGGTGAATTTATAATAACACTAAACATCGCACATAAGAACTTTTTCGGCTTGGGACCACGATTTACTCACTCATATTGCTCTCTGATTCAAAGTGTAAGAGGCCATCATTAAAGGCATGCATTGTTTTCTCCTTCTATAGGGAGGAGAAACCAGAGACATCTGGCACTTTAATTTCCTTGCATGGACAGAAGAGAAGATGCCCAAGAAAACAGCTGGTGTTCGTCAAATGATTGGTAAAATCCAAGATGTGCAACGCCAAGGTGGCAACAACCCTATCGTCGTTCACTGCAGGTGCGATTAATTATTTTGCCGTACAGCTCTTCACTTCAGACTATAACTTCAATTGTTGTCTTCTCCCAACTTCAACGTTTTGTTCCCACATACTGCAGTTACGTGATTACTGAAACGAGAAATTACAGAGAATAAAGTAGTTTAATATACCTGTTTTTTGAGCAACTATAAATTACAGTACAAACTGTTCGCACTTGTCTTCGTGGTATAACAAGGCTATATCTTTGTTACTCTGTTTCTTTTCATTCATTTTGTGCATAAATCCTGCTTGTTCACATCTCTTTAACCACCAAACTCTTCTTTAATATTCCCCTTAGCGATGGTGGTGGTCGAACGGGTGCTTTCTGTGCACTAGTCACGTCTCTGGAAAGGGTTAAACAGGATCAGTCATTCAACCTTTTCCAAACGATAATGTTACAAAGAATCCAGAGGCCGAAAATGGTTACTTCCGTTGTAAGTATATTTTAGACAGTTTTGCCTGCATATTTTTGGCATATTCAACCTCTGCGTTTTGTTTCTGTTCTTTTCTTTTGTTTGTTGTATTTGTTTATTTCCCATTTGGTGCGAGGATAAACAGTCTTCTCGATAGTTGGTGATTACAATCTTATTCCATTTCAGGAGCAGTACAGGTTCTGTTTCCAAGCGATTCTTGACTTCCTTGACTCGTTTGATCAATATGCAAACTTCCAAGATCTCCGGCAGTAATTTGAAACCCACAATAAATATGGTCACTAGTTAGAAACATGAAATTTGCACTGCAACAATTTTAGTGCATTCAACAACGCATGAGTTTGAATGTCCATTCACCACATGTTCTGGTAACTTTCTTGACAAACCTTTCTCTTTAATCCTAATCATATAATCCGATTTTAACATTTTAACTTTGGGGCGCCCGATAACGGTTGACAGAAATCTAATCTTCTAGGGATGGTAGTATTTTTGTTTGCAAACTCCACATTTCGATTTCAATGTCGTAAAAACTGGATTGTAGTTGTTATTTCTGGAAACAATCGAAACTGAAAAGAGGAAATATATCAAAACAGTTAACAGAACACGTGTTTGGGGACAAGGCGGACGTACGATACAACTCATCTATATTATCTTCCATTTTTCGTTATGAATTGTATCGTCGTTCTATTATGAAACGAGAGTCTATCAAAATAGACTGACTCGAATTGAGGTCGGAAATGCATGTTATATCCCGATATGCAACACACATAATAAACTTACGTTATTTATGCATGGTCTAACGAAGTTATAACTAACCATATTCATATAATCAAGCACTTAAGATGTATTTGGTGGTTTTTCAAATGCTCGAATTGACAAAGCAAAATCTTTTATCTTAAACGTGTTTATCTTATTTACCATTTCACGAGGTAGTATCTCTCTAAAACCTTCGTACATCGCTGAGGAATTACAATACGGCTTCGAGAATATTTTCGGTCTCAAATTTCGTGATGAACCTTGTACGTTTTTCTTGGAGTAATAACACCATCGTACAGTACAGTATAGTTTAGTTACTTTTATTTTAGTGCATGGCTAGTATTTAATTGATTAATCAATTAACTAATGGATAATTTTAATGAAATAAATTTATTTTGTAACAGTAAATCCATACTATTATCCGTAACTAACTATCCGTACTAGGATCCATACTATTTCCGTAATATGAAGTAAAATCTTGATGAAATTTCAGCATACGTACGCACCAGTTGTCAAAGTTTTTACATGAATGCAGATACACAAAACTAAATTCAAAAATTTCCCTTTTTATGGAGTAAAATCTTCAGTGAAAAAGTATGAAACACGCCTTGCAACAACAGCTTTGTTCTCAAAAAGGAAAGCAGGAATCCCTGCTATATTAGTAGCAAACCATTCGACCATCATACCACAAATGGGAAGAAGCTGAAGCAAAATTAATGTATGAGTTGCTAAAATGTGGGTCCGCATCACCCCGAAAACATTTTGGATTCTGTCCAACATTGTGCCTATGGTGATAAGAATTACACTAATTTTGACTTTGCAATATTGACTGCAGAGAATGCCGAATTAAATTAAGGATTAGACACTAATTTACAAGAGCATGAATTTGAAGGCGATATAATACGTGCAAGATACGACGATGCAAGAATTTTCAACTTGGTTTACAAAATCATCTTTTTTAATAAAGTCCAAATGATATGATAAATCGTGTGAAGGTCGACTATCTCCGGACGTAAAGACTGAATTAAAAAAATAATAACACCAAACGGAAATAAATCAAACAAGACGCCTGTTCTGGAAAAAAGGTTTAAGTGAAATAAAAATACCGTCAATTATCCCAAGAGCAAATTGTCTCGGGGTGACGACAATTTTTTCGCAACTTCCAATTTGATGGTTCGACTACGTAAAAGAAAAGTTTAGGTAAGTTAGAAAATGGTGAAGGCGATCGTCGTGTTATTACGTTACGAGCCCATAAATATCGCGCTAAATGTCGATTTTGTACCTTGTAAAAGGCGTGATTTGGAATGTGATATATTCAAAGGGTATTCAGTCTGCAAAATATTGAAAACTACGGTTACCATTTAGAGCAAACGTGATAATATTCTTACGTCAACGAAGCTTAAGAGAATTTCAGCTGTAAAATTAATTGCGAATGTTGAAACATTCTAATGAATCTACTAAATGAAATACCATTTTCCTGAAATTTTAATTTGTGACCTGTGAAATCAGACTTGGCTTCATTCACCGTGAACAATCGCACCGTGATCATTAGCTTCCCCTGGGCACACCTGGGCCACATATAACTAGCTTATGTTGAGATAATACTCATTTGCTCAAGGGATTCCATACCTGTGATATTTTTGCGTCAACACAAATGGTTGACGTACAAATTTATGTACAATCCCCCGAAAAAAGGTTTAAAAAAATAGAATAGTGTCGTAATTCGCTACAAGTTCTGCTGATCTAGTGTTGAGGCCATGCTCCCCCGGGTTTCAAACTGGGGGTTCGAATTCTACTATAAGTGTTTGAACTTCGTGAACAGGATAGAGTAAATTAAACAAGACGCCGTTCTGGCGTTAACTCCGGCGCACGTGCCAGTCTCCAATATAGAGCTTCTGAACATAAACAATACAGTTCGCGTATTGTTTCGCACAAATATTCGCATTTAGATGCCTTGCGAACCTAAATGTTCGATCGCAAAATTCAGAAGCACATCGCAGTGTAGAAGTTCAATTGTTCAAAAATGTAAATAAACCGCATGATACATTCGCTTTGTCTTACACTTTGCGTTTGGAATTCGCGCTGATATAGTTATATTAAATCTTCGATCCTGTGCAAACTACGCGACGTGTCAACGCGCCCATACACGACCACATCATCTTGTTAAACGGCGAAGTAGCAGCGATATTATTAAAATAGGACCGGAATCTACATGTAATAAATATATTCTTACCCCAATTCAATCTAAACTTAATCGAACAGCATGAAAAGAACGGTTTATTTGTTCCTCTTGGAGGAATTGCCGTATCATGCGAGCGAAATCGAATCGCGCATTGGAAAATTAGCCAAAGCTGTGCACCACAACTCTTGGGAGATAAGACTGGGACGTAAATAAATACAGTCACATACACGTTTCAGATACAAGAATATTTCGCGCCATTTCTGACTTGCGACGACGAAAAATAAAAAAACAAAACAAAACAAAACTGGGGCGAATTTTCAACTCTGTCGCTGACGCCGGAGTAATAACCACAGCCTTTCAGCACAATATCTTGTAGTCTAATGGTGAGGACAATGGTCTCTCAAGTGGTAAACCGATGGTTCGAATCCCACAGTAACCGTTTTTTTATTATGAACTTCGTGGAAAGCCAAAAAAAGGATTGAGATAAAGGTAGCCTTGAACGTCAAGCGCTGGTGGTCTAGTGGTGAAGACAAGGGTATCGCAATCTAGATGACCATGGTTCGAAACGTTATCTGGGCCTTTTTTTAATATGCTAATTGCAACTCACAGACATGCGTCGTGCATGTAAGTGTACTGTCTTTAATTATCTACGCATATGATGTATGCATGTGGTCATTCGTGCATTGTTTGGACTATTGCATGATGTCAAGAAAATTTTAAATGTCCTTAATTCACTTAACTCCTTAAAGAAATCGACTGGTCTTAGGTTGCAGTAAATGCTGTGAGGAAAAGAAACACTTTACGTTGATTGAACGTACTTAAACGATATTGCAAAGCGAGAAAATGTCAAATTATGTATTTATAAACCCCGCGCAGTCGCAGTGAGTAAGTAATAACCCCACAATAGCCACATTGAGCAATGTCCTATATACTAAGCCGACGACTCTTGAAACCTTGAACCCCAATGATTATCCTTACCTAGTCTAGGGGCGAGGACAATGGTCTCCCAAGTGGTAAATCCATGCATGGTTTGAATCATACCATGACCGTTTTTCATTATCAACTTCGTGGAAAGGATAAAGTAAATTAAATAACAGTAGCCGTTCGGCACAAGATCTTGTAGTCTAATGGCGACGACAATGCTTTCCCAGGTGGTAAGCCGATGGCTCGAATCCTACCATAACCGTTTTTCATTATGAACTTTGTGAAAAGGATAAAGTAAATTAAATAACCATAGAACTTCAGCAGAAGATCTTGTAGTCTAGCGGTCAAGATGTTGGTCTTATGTGTCGACAGTCGAAGGGTTCGAATCTCGTTTTAGATGGAAATTTTAGTTATTAATATTACATGGTAAGGTTATGGAGAATAAGTTGGTGCAGGCTTCCAACAATCACCAGTTAGCCTAGTGGTAAAGCCGTGGACTATCAAGTAAAAGATCGAGGTATCAGGAACAGGATGGTGCGTTTCTCATGGCGGTAAAAGAAAAAAAGGTAGGTATGTTGCTCGGGAGAGGTTTATACTCGGTTAATCTTTGGAAATCAAAGTTAATCTTTAGGGAAATCAGAGGATAGATAGGGTGAATGAGGGGTATATGAGTACAAAAAGACTTAGTAATTGGGCGGCAGCCTCGGCTCCCGGGGCAAGGGGGAGGGTATAGGTGAGAAAACAGTATATAAAATGTTTAAGTCTTTTTGTACTCATTTAAACCTCTTTACCCCTATTTATCCTCCTATTTACTCCTATCTATCCCTACTTTTTCCTATCCTCACATATCCCCAACTATCCCCTAACACAATTAAATGTTTGAAGAAAGCTTGCTTTGAAAGTCAGGAAAGCCGGGGAAAGAGAACCCCCTCAGTCTACTCCTCGCCCAAGGCGAGGGCATATTCGCCCTCTCGCACTACTCCTCTCACACTCACAAATTCTCACTTTATTACCTTGTTGTTCTTTTTCGGTTTATCCAGGGCTTGAACCATCGACTGTATACTTGGCAGATCATCGTCTTCACCACTACACCACCAGTTCTTGTGGTGAAAGCCAACAGTTTTTTATTTTACTTAATCCTTGTTTGGAAGGATCTTTGACGAAACTTAATACCTTTTGGTAGGATCTCAAATGAAATGACAATTTAAATGAGTTCACTTTAATTAATTTTCATAATTTAGTTTCTCAAATTTCACACACTGTGTCTTTACTATCTTATTCGTAGCTTGTAATGTAATATTAACCATTTGTGTTGTCGCTAAACTGATCACATACAGATATGCGGCGCCTTAAAGCACCATCTTTCCATAAGTTGGTTATATGCGACCCAAGTGAAGCTAATGGTTACGGTGCGATTGTTTTGTATTTTTAATGACGTGAAGTCAAAGTAAAGTACAAGAATTAACAATGTATTTCAAAATAGGTTTAAAAGAAAGCCGTAAAAACCCGTCTGAATGTGAATTGGGTATGGAAATTTATACGTAGGATGGGTTGGGTAATGCGTTATCATTAGGATAATAATTGTGTTTATTTTCCTTAGCCTCAGTTGTTCCGTCCTTGACCGTGCTGGTATTTCTGAGACTCGTCTGATTTATCCGTCTAAATGCGAGTTTAAGACGAGTTTCTCTTGCAGACGGGATTCCCGTCCAACTTACCCGTCTCTTAATTTAGCGGACGGGAAAGTTAGACGGGAAAATTCGGACGAGAAACCCGTGTGTGATTCACATGCATGCATCAGACGAGTCCCCCGCTTTCGATGAGTTTCCCGTCTCTAATATGAATCCGGCTAAAAGTATAGTCATGAGGCAACAAGCATTACATCTGAAATGGCATCTGAAATCGCAAATATCAGTTAAACAGACATTGACTATTTATTTCAAGACTTTGTTGTATAAAGAGTCGAAACACTAGCTTGTATCGCTAGCAGGTTCGTCGAACATAAAATACGCTAATCTAATATTTGAACCTTTATACAAAAGAGATCAACGTCTTAACAACTGCTTGACGACCACATCGTTTGTCGATAAACTATTGTTCTCTATTTGACTTAATCGTTTCTTCGAAGAACTTTTAAATGAAAAATTATGAATCGTTGCCGTAATATTGTTGAGCTGCTGTTTGTTTGTTTGTTTGTTTGTTACGTATACCGTGGTTAACTGCGGAAATTGCGCTTTTGAACTGAACTAATTTACATCTTACTTCATTAAAAATACAAAACAATCGCACCGTAACCATTAGCTTCACTTGGGCCGCATATAACAACTAACTTATGAAAACATATTGTTTTAAGCCACTTGATACTTGCATGTGATATTTTAGCGAGAACACAAATGGCTAC